CTTTGACAAATTCGGGAGTTCCAATACCGACTCCTTCATCGGGATGTTTGGCACTACTAAATTTGCGACCGATCCCAAAATCCACCAGAGCATGATCTCGCGCCAATTTGACCACTTTGGCATCAAAGGGTCCTTCTCCCACTTGCAACTGATCGAGCATTTGCCGCGGACTTTTGAGGGGTGCATATTTGGGGTGATGCTGACGTTTGGTGGTCAATTTGGGTTGTCGTCCTGCCGTGGGATTCAAGGATAGTGTGAGCAAGGGCATGCCTCCATCTCCTTGTGGATCAAAATCAAACAAGACAGCCGACTGGATGCTGCCTTGCTGGACTTTGCCCGTCTCGATATCTTCGCGGGGACTGACTCGTAAAGCAGCCGAGAGAGGTGGAAAGACATCACCACCCTCGGATGATTCTTCATCGCGGTATCGAATATATCCCGTGTGTTTCATGATGGAATCATCTTGGATAACGACTTGCAAAAGTTTGGCTTGGGCGGCCTTTTGTTTGGCCTTGAATTTGGATCGGGGTGTCTTGAGATAGTATTGGACTCCCTCTGGATCCGCGACGAGGCGGACTCCGTAGGTATCCTGTGTTGCTTTGCTACTGAACAAACCCTGGATCAAATCCTCTGCTGTGTCATAGCCCATTTCCGTGGCGTGGTTCTAACCAACACAAATAAAAGGCAGAAAACATTTGGATTGGAAAGGTAGAAAGCAATATGAGATGACAAAATAAAAGATCATTATTTCAAAACAACAAAAACACTTCCTCCAACTTCTACATACCGCCAACCGCCCCTTCAAAACCTTCTTGTGAAGCCGCGTCAATTCCGCAGTGGACAACACGGTTCCATCTTTTTGTGCCGATCCGTGCCGGTACAGCAAATAGAGCAAATTCCAGCGCAGCATGGATGCCCGATCCAAGTTTAGGACCGAACAGGGCACCAACAGGGGTGATCCGGAGCGACGACGCTTTTTCCACGCCTTGCGACCCAGTGCCAAATCGCCCACTTCGATTTGCACGGCTTGACCGCCCATGAGTGCGGCGTACTCGTTGCGAGTGGCCGGAATTTCACTATAATCGGACGCCACGTCGTTGTCGACGGTGGGAGAAGAGTTGTTGCCGTCGTTGTCTTCAATGACATTGTATTCCGAACGTCTTGCTGCTTGCAATCCTTGGATGGACTGGATGCTGGAAGCTGATTTTGGAATCAGCAGGAAACAATCCACCAGTGTCGACAACTGCAGGATCGAAAGAAACAGCAGCGAGAGCCTCATGGTGAAAGGAAAAATTAATTATTGGATTGAAAGGAAAACAGCAGGAAGAACTTCTAGCAGAAAATAAATCCACAGGCAGGACTGGCTAGCTAGTAGTTCCTCTCTTGACTTATTTTGGAGCTTGGTTGATCAAAGCTGTCGTGAAGGCGGCCCAACAGGTGCTCCTCCTCTGCTTGCACAAAGAGTTTGGTTTTCTTTGTGTGGTGATGGAAAGATCGATTGGCGGTGATGTGATGGATCTTTTCTGTTTTGATGCTTTTCGACGTCAGATATCTTGTGTTGGCAGACAGACGCTCACAACTGGCTGGCAGTAATTTTTTCTGTTACTGTACAGTCATACCTTGACTACTAGATTCATAATTCTGCTCAAATTATGTTTAAAATTGAAAAGGCAGCGGACCACGGAGCAAGAGGCTGTCCATGTATTTTAAAATAACTTATTTTATTTCATAAAATATCAGATATTATCCACCATTATTGTACGGTACCGGTACCGTGGATGAAGTTGCCGCGTTTGCTTGAAAATGTCTCTGCGGGATGCCAGATGCCAGTCAATGCAGTCTGGCAGCTTGAAGTGCAGCCACCATATTCCATTGACAGGCCTACCGGTACCGGTACCGGTACCAGTACGAGCAGCTTCGATTTTATTGATGCAAACGCGTCCCGACCTCCCTGGTACACTTCTACTCGAGCTCTCGTAGAAGTGTACGAGAAAACCTGGCACGCGTTTGAATCTTTAAAACTGAAGCTGCCTGTACCAGTACTGTACTAGCTACTGGTACTGTATCATAGGAGGCATATAGCAGGAGAGTGTCCATACGGTACAGTAGCTAACAAAACCACAATCCTGGAAGACATGCAAATACTGAACGATGGCCTGCGAGGAATGTGCCGGTACTTTCGGCATCCCATGTTATCCAACCTTGTCAAAACCGGAGGCAAGTAGGCAAGTTCACCAACCAACATACGGCAGCTTTCGATAACTTCGTTTAGGTAAAACTATAGTATCTTATAATCAAGGTCAAGTATTCTCAGAAGGGGAAGGGTCATTTTTAATGCTAGTAATAATTATTGCAACGGTCATTTTTGGCGCAGATCTTCGAAAGAAATCTCCCCGAGTCTGTACATACATGTACGTACCAGTTCTGGTAACGGTAGGTAATATCGGTAGTGGTTGGTACCGAAGCCATTGTGCCAACGAGACCGAGCGCCGAGAGTCGAGAGTAGTTATGTTGGAGAGTTGGAGTGACCTCAACCTTGCGTCATAATTTGTCAATACTATCTCAGAACTTGTGGTACTTGCTTGGTTTCTTCTCTGGAATCGACACCATGAGAATGCATCAACTCTTTGTTTCCTTTGGCGCGCTGTGTATCATCCTTCTGCTTTTCCCATCATTGACGGAAGGTATTGGAGAGAAGCCTGCTTTCAAGATCTCTCCATTGTCCGAAGGCAATGCCACCTACAGATCAGATGTCTGTGATCGTTTCAATCAGTTTAGTGATGGAAAGATTTCACTGAGGCATGCCCTCTCCGGGTTGGCCTTGAGACCAATCATGGAACATGGGGATTTCTTTCATTTCTCTCACGATCAGGGCATTGACCCAGTGGACCCGGGCTTCCTTGGCGAACTCATGGATATTCTCGCTGCCAGGGCAAACTTTACTTGGCGAGACTCATTTGCCATCATGTGGATGCCTGACGAAGATTGGACCGTGCTGTCTTGGACAGATTATCTTGTGTGGTCCGTCAATCATTTTGATATTTCCGTCACATGGTGGGACCATTCCATTGAACGCATGGAAAAGGGGGTGGCCTTTGTGGAGCCATGGTGAGTTCTGGGTATATCGACAAAAAAGTACTTGTCAATCACTTGTACACGTATCTGTCTAAACTAACGATACGATGCTTCCTTCATCATTCTACATGTATATAGGTATGATGGAAGTTTGGTACTTATCAACCAGCATGACCCACCGATACAAGAAAGCTCGATTGTACTATCCAACTGGCTGCTCCCATTTGATGCGTCTGTTTGGATGCTCATCATTACAACTATCATTGCTTCTGCTTTGGTGTACCAGCTTATTGAGTTCATGAATGATGAGCGAGAGGAACGAAGCATGTACCAGTGGTTCTCTGACAACCTGGTAAGTTTTGTTGTCATGTGATTTCCAGTGTTGACAAGGCCATACTGCCTCACGCCGGTGCCAAAATGTAAGTCTCTCACAGCTTTTTCTGTCCTCGTTCCGGTTCGCTTCAGTACCTATCATCCTTGAATTTCTCTCAAAACTTTGAGTATGCACCAAACAGTCTTGCTGGTAGAATCTTTGGCATCAGCATGAGCATTTGGGCACTGGTTATCACAGCCACCTATACTGCCAACCTAGCTTCACTGCTCGTGCAGCATGGCAAACAGGGACTGGTAATAGACTCTATTGAGAGAGCCATGGTTGCCAATGTGCCAATATGCACCTATGGTGGATCCAACAGTGATACAGTCATCCAGAACAAGTACCAAAAGGCCATCCGTCGTCCGATGGAAACTGAGTTACTGATGTATCAAGCTTTGAGGCAAGGCCAATGTGGACTTGCTGTGACCTCTATGGACACCTGGCTGACATACTTTAGCAACGAAGATTACAACCCTGACTGTGATCTTGAATGGGTCGGAAGGCAACTCTTGACCATCAAATCAGGGTTTGCTGTCAAGGCTGATTCAGGTGATCTCTGCTCTAGCTTGATTCGAGACGTTCTCAATTTGCATCTTGCAGAAATTGTGGGAGAAGGGATACTTGAGGAGCTGTGGAGGAAACATAGAGCAAAGCTGCAGACAATCGACTGTGATGCACAAGAATCTGGCGACAGGAATTCGAGAGCACGTCGGGGTCTTCTTTCATCATCGTGGTTCTCAAACCAGGACATACCACCCCAGCAACGTTCCCTAAAGGGTGGCGGATCAACCACTGCAGCTTCTTCTTCTTCTAGCTCTTCAGGGGGGGCGGGTGAAACATCATCTCTGTCGATAGAGAGCATGCTGGGCACCTTTGTCATGCATTGGTCGGCTATGGCCGTTGCGCTTCTTGTGAGTGTCCTCTCGGTGCATTTTGAGAGGTGGCAAAAGAAGCGATTGGAAGCCGCAAATTGCGTTGTGGAACAAGTGAGGTTCAGAGGGCACGGCCCCATCATCGGCATGCCCCCGCGAATGAATACGTTTGTCATTCGCAACAAGCATGATGTTTCGCTGGGAGGCTCAGAACGCCATGAAGCGGAGCAAAGTATTTCCCAGGATGAGGAGGGCGTAATCAAGCCAGGGATCTCTGCCTTTCGACGTCTTTCAGTAAGAGAGGCAAGCCGCCGGTTCCCCGCGGGGCTCAATGGTCAGGAGCAGGACATGCAATGGCGACAGGACGTGGACAGCAAACTAGAACGACTGCTGAAACAGGAGAGAAAGTTGGAAAGGCTGCTGAATCTTGTAGAAGGCATGTCCAATCTAAGCGCCAATGATGCAAACGACATACAGGGAGCGGGAGACATAACCAAGGCTGACCTTGATTTATGTGCGTAGTGGGCCCTGTTGTACTTCCTGCTTCAGTCCCGTGGCCCTTCAATATAATCTCTAAAAAGATGTCCGTGTAATCTCTGTATTGGTTCACTTGAAACCCTCACTTTGTTCTGCGGGCGGAGATTGCGTTATTGCGTTATTGCGTTACGCTCAGTCCGGCCACCACAACCAGCTCTTTCTCGCTGGCTGCTGGCCTTTGCAGTTTTCTCGTAGTCACTGAAGAATAGCCAGCCAGTGCATCCTACGTCCTCTCCTCAAGATCGTAGAGTACAAGCACAATCAAACCATAATCTTTCTAGCCAGATGGTGAGCTTGACCTGCTCACCTACCCACAGCATTCCGTTCCACTTCCAATGCTAAGCTTCCCTTTTCGACCTTGGCGGAATGAACACTCGGCACCAGAACTCTAGCCTGGAGGCTTGTCTCTGTCAAATCTTTAGCACTCTCACTTTTTGCTGCATTTTGATAAAATGAGAGAGCCGTAGAAATCAAATAGAGCTAGACTAGCTACATGTATGTCATAGTATTAATAGTGGATGGGAGCTGCCCTCTCCTTGTGACCGATTTAATAGTACTAATATTATTGCAAGCTGGTGGTACATGTAAGGCAGGTCGCAGATGCAGCTGGTTTGCAATGAACTGACGTTTGTAGCTCGTTTGTGATGTGGGATATCGATGCGGGATCGATCCAGCGAGGTCATTGAAGGATTGAAGGTGAAAAGACTTGCAAAGGAAACACCTTCCCTTTCCCTTTCTTGTTTTTCACTCTTCTCATTAAGTACTGCATGCCCAACACGGGTATCGGGCTTCGGATGAATGACTTCCGAAGCTCTTACGATTAGAACTTCTCTCTGCTTATGTCTTTCGCACGAATGCTGTTGAGTGGCCAGCGATGATAAATACATGAGCATTCACCCATTCTCAAGGGGAACTGATACTCGCAAGACTTTAAGGACCCGCCAGAACGCTAGGCAGGTGCTCTAAATCTTGAATGTTCTTATTCGATCTATCCACCCAAAATAGAAAGCGTGAACGCATGTTCCATGCTCCATCCAAAATCCAAAATAAATATACCCCTCGTTGCTCGTTGCCCTCGGTCCTCGGTCACTCAAAATTGATGGCAAGTGGTTTTTGGGAGCGATGACGGCTCTTGATGAAATTACGGTGGCGACATCTCGCAAACCCTCTTTTGCCAGTCATTTTCTTTGTTACTATGGCGCTCTGCTCATCGTTCTAACCTTCCACGTGAGTGTTTTTGTGCAGTGGAGTATTTATTGGTGTAGTCACCAGTGCAATTAAATATTTTATGCGGAAGCAGAGTTTGAAGCCCGCCCGCCCCACCGGCCACCACCACCCACTCACCACCGAGCCACCGAGCACCACTACTATTAATTAATAGCATTCTCGCTAGACTAGACTAGTTTGGGTAAGCAAAATTCTACGAAGGATGTGGCGGCGAAGAAGGTTTTTCAGCATTCATTGATGGTTCTTTTTGGGGACTTATGCCTTTCTGCCCTCAAAGGACCCCCAGTCGTCTGTTCCTAACGAAACGAGAATTAACAACAATCGAAAAAGCATAGACACGCAATCGCTCCTCGCTGAAGTCTCTGCGTTCTTGAAGAGCTCCGTACACTGTACTGCCATTACCAGCGAGCTACAGTACCAGCGTTTGACTTGGCTAGCTGGCTAGCTAGCTAGTTGGGCCTCTCTGCCTGCTGCCTGCGTTTGAAGCTTTGAAGAAGCGTGAGCTTTGAAGAACACCACGTTTGTGGTTCCAAACGGCCTAACTAACTCGAATAGCTCTCGAATATTGAAAACTGCAAGCTGGAAGCACCCTTTTACTTTTGAACGAAGTGGCCAAAAGGAGTGTAAAGAAGGAGTTCTCGCTGCCTTTACCTGGACATTATTTATCGCTTTCGATTTAGAATCCAGTTCGGAAGGAACATCTGGGTTATTCCAGCCTTGGTTGGTATTTACTGCAGTAAATCCGGGTTACTGGCTCCTTACTGTCCAATTACTGCCATTGTTGGCCCCCTAGTTACTGCAGTAAGTAATCCCATGCAGTAAGTAATCTGCCTATGCAACAGGAATATCCAGTAAATGACAGTAAAAGCACAGTAATTAGCCTATATTACTGCAATTACTGTAGTTTACTGCCTCCAATTGGCTCTAAATTACTGTGTATGATTACTGCTACTGAGGAATTACTGCATTACTGCCATTACTGCTCCTTTTACTGACCTCATGGCAGTAAGGAATAAACAGTAAATACCAACTAAGATTCCAGCAGCCAGCGCGCGAAAGAGGTGAAAAATAATGCTTCAAGCAAGGTCTTGGTGGCTCCTATCGTAAAAATCGAAGTTCCAATCACAGCCAAAGGTGTCATCGGCTCGATACCTTACTTAAGGGGAGGAGTGTCGGATTCAACTGTTACAGCAAGGGCACGACGATACCTACGTTCGTGCTTTGTACATACCGGTAGGATTTGAACGTGGAGATACGGGAATTAGCTGTAGAGATTATCCGATTGCGTTGGCTGGATACTACTTTATTGAAAAAGGGGTATATTTTGGGGGTGGGGTATCATAAGCACTATTAAGTTAACCTTTAGAAATCTACCGCTCAAACAGGTTCAACTCCATTTCCCCGAAACTATCCAAACAGATCATGAATTAACCTCCCGCGACGCTACGTTTCCCTGCTTCAATGGTGTTTGCTCAATCGAGACAATTTCATTTCTGGGCTCCTCTCATCATAAAAACCCTCCCTTTCATTTGGAACAAGCAACCAACGTGCTTTTACTGCTTACTCTACTAAAAGCAAACAAAAAGACTGCTCTCAGCCCAACAATCCTCCATCACAAGTCACCTCCTATCATACCATACTACCCTCTCCGCTTCGATTAACCAACACACAAGATGATGAGCAATAATAATCTGACGATCGAAGACTTCCATGGCGCTGTAAATCACTCCTCACACCCATCAGAAGGTATGTTGGAATTGTCTGGTACTGAAAACTGTGTAGGATTCTACGTGTTCCCTCTTTTGCCCCCGCCTCATCTCCTTCTGATCTTCTTATCTTGCCTCTTGCCACCTGACACAGCGACCCCCAAGAGATCCAAGCTCGACTTCTTGGCCATGATTGCAGAGATGAGCCAACAGTCGGAAGCAGCGCCCAGGATGGCTCCTGTGCCAGCCCCAGTCGCCCCTTCAGAACCCGTCCCTCCGCCGGCAGTTGAAGCGGACACGATGGTGGTCAACGTCAAGCCTCCCACCAAGAGCGCGTCGAAAAAGGTCACCAAGAAGTCCCCCAAGTCGAGCTTTGCCGCTTGGAAGCTCGCCAAGGGCCGTAAGGGTGGCCCCAAGAGTCCCAAAAACAACAAAGAGACCAGCAAGGGCAAAGAGATGCCTGCTGTTACGACCGCTGATGTGGCTCGAATGGATGTCGTCGTCACGCCCACGTCCCCCGTGAAGGAGTCTGCTGAGTTTAACAACATGGCAGCTATTATGCAGCAAGCCATTGAGATGAAGGCACAGATGCAGTCATACAGCCCTCCTCTCGTTCCGGCTCAGGCCCCTCCAGCTGTCGTGGAAGCGTCACCCATGGCCATGGCGGCTCCGATGGATGCTCTCGCCCTTGCCGCTGCCAGCAGAGAACAGGAAATGATGGCAGCCGCCGCTCCTAAAATGCCACCCAAGAAGGCCACGAAGAGCAAGGATGGCAAGAAGAGTGCCTCTGCCAAGAAGGCTGGCACTTCTATCAAGAAGGATAAGGATGGAATGTCAGCCAAGAAGGCTTCCAAGAAGAAGAATAAGGATGGCTCCGAAAAGACCAAGAGCTCGAAGAAGGCCAAGAAGGTTGATCAGCCGAGTCCTAGTAAGGGAACAACACCGTCTTTTCCTGAGAAGATAATGGAGTTGTTACAGAAGAATATGGCCTCGAATGCCATTTACTGGCTTCCCGAAGGCGAAGCGATTGCTGTCGACCCTGATAACTTCAAGGACAGCACGGTCATCAGCAAGCAATTCCGTGGTAACAAGCTTTCCTCCTTTGTGAGAAGCTTGAACCGCTGGGGATTCCGCAGAATCTTCTACCATTCTCTGCCCGACAAGACTCTTGCCTTCTACCATCGCTTGTTCCAAAAGCAAACTCCCCTCCTGGTCAAGGATATGAAGATGGACGGCGGTGAGAAAGAACCAGCTCTCCCCCCAAGTGCGGCATCCGCACCCATGGTGATCGAAGCTGCCAATCCGGCTGCGGTCGTTTCAGAAGGAGAACCCAGGCCCGAGGAATCCCCCGTCTCTTCTCGCCCCATGGCGGCGATCCCAGTAGAATCGGCCCCGTCCTCTCCAGCTGTTTCTGCTCCCAGCGCAGCAGCTAATGCCGCCGCCGCTCAGATGATCGCTCAAGCCAGTGCTGCACCAGAACCTGTTGCTGCGCCCTCTGCGGCCCTTGCGGCGCAGGAACACGCAGCTCTTGCGGCCGCTCAGGAGCAGGCGGTTCTAGCTGCCCAGGAGCAAGCTGTCCGTGCCGCTCTCGGCAGTGCTCAGCCAGACATGGCTCAGAGTATGCTAGAACGTGCAAGCGCCCTAGAACTGGCTGAGGGCCAACACACCTTGCAGCAAGCTATGATTGCCGAACAAGAACGCGCTGACTTGGCCTTGCAGCAGCTACAGGCCCAGCAGGCCTTGTTGCAAGCTCTCGCGGAGCAGCAAAATGCCGCTCAGGCTGAGGAGCTCTTGATGCAGTCAATGATCGCCGAGCAGCAACGTTCAGATCTCGCCTTGCAGCAGCATCAAGCTGAGCAAGCCCTCGTTCAACAAATGCTGGAGGAGCAATCGGGAGGTCTTTCGGCGGCCTTGGGCGGCGGGTATGGTCACGGCGCTGAAGCGGCGCTCCGGGAACGCTTGATAGCTCAGGAACTTGCTTCCCGGGCTCCCGCACACGCTCCAGCACCCGCTGGTTCAGACGTTTTGGCCCTTTTGCAGCAACACTTCCAACAGGGTGGGCATCAGGCCCGCGAATTGTCCCCCGTGGAGCAACTGTTGCTTCTTGAACATCAGCAGCGTCAACGTCAGGAAGAGGCTGCCATCTTGGCTGCCCATGGATTCCGATTCTAGGTCCGGGAATCGAATCGACAGTTCCATCAGATATCTACATACTTGACTTGGGTTGACGCATCCTAGGGCGACTGGTTGCTGATCGTGTTTCTCCTTTTACATCCTTTCGTCTCTTTAATAATAATGCATACTATTAGCTTGATTTGGTTGCTTTACTCCAGCTAGTAGTAGAATTTAGCCACCCGATGAAGGCATCCTAGCCAGCTACTGGGATGGAAACAGCTCCAATGCATAGTTCCTTGTTTCTGAGCGTTCTGCCTGGACAGCGCAGTAGCAAGCTCAATCCAGCAAGAAGGGGCCTCCGAGAGTTTGGTTGGTTGCTGGCCAATTCCGGTGCGGCTTCTTGCCCTTCGCTTGTGCCGGTACTCCATTGTGCATGTCGCACACACATTACCCAGCACTCAGTGCTCGCTCTACAGTGTGCTACCAGCTCTACTACTAGATAGCTGCCGTAGCTTCCCCGAGTCGAGACTTCACTACTAGTACCCCCGTCGTTGCTAAGGCAAGTGGCAAGACCACCAGTTCACAGTTCGTTGGATCTTCCGTCGCGTGGGTCACAGCGACACAGGATCACAGGATGGCCAAGCAGTCCAAGCAAACGGATGTTTGCCGAAGCTGTTTTTGTCACCAGTCATCAGTGATGTTTTGGAAATAGGTGCAAAAAGAGGGTTATCAGACATTTTGCTGGAAGAGATCTCGATAGTCAGCCAGAAAGGCATTTAAATCCAGAGGTTTCCGGGGGCAGTTCCGAAGAGAAGAATAAATTTCCAAGACTGGTGGAGAAACTTTTTACAAGAAGGTCTCCAACCTCCAACTCTCCACTCGCCAACCTCCAACTTCCAACGTGCTTCGCGAAGCCACGGAACCTGGTACCGCATGCCGGATGAGTCATGCATACGGTAACCTTTGAGTACTTACCTGTGCATGTGCAGTCGTACTTTTTATAGAAGCTGAGGTGTCCATTCTTTCATGTCGCCCCTCTACATGTAGACTAGCTCTCAGTAGTATGCTGTACGGTAGTACGGTACCGGGACACGGTACCGGTACGTACTACCGGATAGCTAGCTACCAGTAGCTAGTTCGCCAAAGCCAAGCTTGTGACCATCGCATGCCTGGCGAGACTACCGGTATGGAATTTCGAGTAAAAAGGTGAGACGCTTCGGATTGGCCTTTTATGTGAAAACTCTTTTAGGAACACTTACTTTAATCCAGTGACAATTGGGAAGGTGGGTCATCAATGTCACCTTGAAGTTGAAGAGAAAATGAAGACTGGAGAATGTCAATCGAACCGCGAAAATTTTTAAAAAGGGACACCAGAACCCTGCCGCCATGGAAAAGCATCGAACATTGAGATCAAAAAATGAGTGACAGAGGACGGCGACGCATCCAGCAGAGCTGTCAAAGCGATTTCATTCTTGATCGTGGGAGGCTAGATTTCGTGATTGACTGCTGAAGGCAGCAATCAACCCTTTCATCCAAGAAAATAATCCACCAAAAAGCATAAAGGATGGAGTCTTCCTCGACTCCCAGCCACGCCTCAGTGTCCGCAATCTGGTTGGCATGGCAGTTCCTAGGACTATTTAGGTACGACAAATACACCTAGAGTATGTAGTGTCGAACGATAGTGTAGGGTTGGGGAACAACGGTGATATCAGTGCACCAGTGCACCAATCAAAACCGTTGGAACCCAACATTGAACTGAGAGCCCCTTAAAAAAAGGACATCATTTTCCTCTTCCTTTGGTGGCTGCTCAGAACAATGAGTGGCTCTAGCACTATCTGCAGTGGCAGCCATCTAATTGGAGCATGTGTGCTACCACATTGCTCTGCTTAGAGTCATGGCTACAGGAGTCTTCCTCGATCCCAGCCACCGCCTCAGCGTCCGCAATCTGGTTGGCAGGCAGTTCCTGGACTATTTAGGTACGACCAAATACACCTAGAGTATGTAGTGTCGGAACGATGTGCTAGGTTGGGGAACAACGGTGATATCCAGTGCACCAGTGCACCAATCCAAAACCGTTGGAACCCAACATTGAACTGAGAAGAGCCATGTGCTGACGAACAGCGTGTCGCAGACACGATGCCGAAAGCCCCATGTCAACTGAGTCAGCGGACACCCGGAGTGGTATACAGTCGGACTGTAGACCACCTTACTCTAGGTGTAAACACAACGAAAGAAAATAGGCGCGCAGAAAGATGCGAGCCAACATACTGTACGAGTGAATGGAGGCCGAAACTTTTTTAAAATTAGGCCATCGGAATGACAAAAAGTAGCCAGTTTACACCCTTGAGGAGGAAGAGCCAGGCGCAAAGGCGACCATGGCAATCAATCAGCGCACAAAGGGCCACAACCACCACCGTTCAAAGACGGAGGCAACAGGGCCACGCCAAAAGGAATTCACGGCCTCAATCGCTGGCATAGTCAGCACCACACCTATCAGGTACCAAAGGCTGTCACTATGTTGTGTCGAAATCGCGAACTCGCGACCATGGCCGTGGAGTCGGGACGCACGGCGACAACCGCTGTGGAGCACCAGTTGGTGACTCCAAGGCGAAGCAACTCCAGGGCCAGTTGGCCAGGAGGGGAGCGAAGCACCAGGGTGTCCTCAAGAGGAGACAAGCACCAGTTGGTGTCGCTCAAGATGGGAGACGAAGCACCAGTTGGTGTCGCTCAAGATGCCAGTTGGCGGGGCTAGAGAAGCACCAGTTGGTGACGACTCATCATGGCAGGGGGCTAGAGAAACACCAGGCGGTGAACTCATATAGCGGTGTGGCTAGCAGAAACACAGGTGGTGAACGCATCAAGGCGAAGAGAGCCAGTTGGCGATCTCTCATGGTGGGAGCACCAGTCGGTGACTCGCCGTTGGGGCTAGCGAAACACCAGGCGGTGAACGATCATAGCAGTGGGCTAGCAGAACACCAGGTGGTGAACGCATCATGGCCAGAGAGTTCTTTCGTGTGGAAAAAGCACACGAAAGTCCTGTGAAAAAGCACACGAAAAAGACGATCGATCGATCGTTCAACCAATAACAAGGCTGCCGCTACAGGACCAACTGCAGTCGTAGCCGTAGCAGTAGTAGCAGTAGTGGAAACAACAGGCGAGTAGCGGTAGCGGTAGCCGTAGCGAGTGTACTCGTAGAGGAGTCTAGGATGGTCGATCGGTCGGTCATCGGCCGTAAAGCACAACAACAACAAAAAGACCGTTCATTCGAACAAACGATCGTTCGGACGAACGATCGACACCAAAGCTCCTGCGATCGACACCAAAGCTCCTGCCGAAGGGCACAACGACCAACAGTAGTAGTCATGGTCGAGTAGCGTCGCTAGTAGCTGTAGAAAAAAAGGACATCATTGTCCTCTTCCTTTGGTGGCTGCTCAGAAAAAAAGGACATCATTGTCCTCTTCCTTTGGTGGCTGCTCAGAACAATGAGTGGCTCCTAGCACTATCTGCAGTGGCAGCCAGTCTAATTGGAGCATGTGTGCTACCACATTGCTCTGCTTAGAGTCATGGCTACAGAAGACAAGCATGCATGAATCCCACTATTCGATTTGATTTAGCAATGCTCAGCAAGGAACAGTTGAATTATCTCGACAAAGATGGGTATCTGGTGGTAGAAGATTTGTTGGACCCCGAAAAGGACCTTGAACCAATTATAGATGAGCTCTCTCAAGTGGCAGATGGACTTGCGCATGACTTGGTAGCTCGTGGTGAGCTTTCAAGCATCTACGAAGATCTTCCCTTTGAAAAGAGATTGGCACGCATTATAGCTGAAACGGGTCAATCCCATTCACAACATTTTGATTTCTCACTACCAAAGGGGCAAGTGGGAGCACATGCTCCCATGTATTTGGGAAATGCTCTTTTTCAGCTCATCACGAACAGCCAATTGTTGGATTGTGTACAAGATGTCATCGGTCCCGAGTAAGTGTTTTGAAACAAAACGATGATGAATGGCTTTGTGCTTGGGCCGACAGAAAATCAGCGAAGAAAGAAGCTCACCGCTTGCCCCACCGTCATCAAAGAATCTACTCCAACCCCGTCCAACACGCTCGGCTAAAGCCGCCAGAATCAGTGGTCCCCAAGAAGGCCGTAGGGATGAGTGTTCTGGTGGGCGAAACACCGTGGCATCAGGATAATGCCGTTCTGACAGAAGACGCGGATGAAACAAATGTTCTGACAGTATGGATACCCCTGGTAGATACAACGGAAAGGAATGGGTGTCTGATCGTCGTCCCAGGTAGCCACCGGATGGATTCATCATTGGCCCAACACTGCCACAGTGGTCATGGTGTACTTCGCATTCCTGACAGTGTCATTGAACCTCACCGTGACGAGGTGATTCCCGTGCCTGTCAAACGAGGGGGCGTCTTGATTTTTCATCGTCGTCTTTGGCATGCATCTCTCCCGAATCTGACCGAGGAGCTCCGGACCAGCCTAGATCTGCGCTATCAGCCATTGGGAGAACCAACTGGACGTGACATGTTCCCAGGTTTCGTCGTGCGATCTTCCAACCCAGAGCAGAGAACGTTGCAGAGCCGAGACGACTGGGAGAAGCTCTGGAAAGATACCCAAAAACGAATGGCAAGCAAAGACTACGTTGAGCAACCTTTTGATCGTTGGCAAAGTAGTGACCATCCACTGTGTGCCTAATGAAGGGTAGTGTGGCTGACCAAGCCTTGGTAGTCATGGAACCAAAAACCAAGCTTTGCATTACCGTTGGTCAGATGTGTTCTCAAAATTAGCAGACATGTACGTTTTCATCATGATCAGTGAAACGTCCACGCAGGGTTCTATGATCAACAGAGATACCAGTACTCAAGCAGACTAATCCGATGCCGTACGTAGGAGGTTGATGATCTTAACTATCAGTAACAACATACCGGTACGGTATTTTATGAGCTGAGGTCATCATCGCTATAACTACTAGTACAAGCATCATCATCCTCGTCATCACTGTCCTCGTCATCACTATCCTCGTCATCGCCATCTTCGTCGTCGGAAAACTCCAGCTTCCTCTTGGTACCTCTCCCGGTGAGGTTTATGTCCTCCGGTGATAAAATGGCTGGGTTAAGTGATATCAGATGGAACACACAGTCTAAATCTTCACGTAGCTCCAATAGTGCATTGATCCAATCCTGACGGGTCGAAGTCTCGTCTTTTAGCAGTTTTGCTCGACCTTGAGTGTTGAGTTTCAAGTACATGTCCAACTGAGGTTGAAGAGACTCGTTTTCATCTTGAAACTCCACTTCTTCCAGGGTATAATTGGTTTCCATCATATCGACAAAGGCTTGGAATGCGTTGTTTGTGAGATTCCCGCTGCTGCCAAAGAGGGAAAACCGTTTCAACACATCATTTTCCCGGAGTGCATTTGCAATAGAAACATGGTGCCCTTCGCCCCCATCCAGATAAGCAAGGTGCACATGAAGAGTTTCCAGCGAAGACACATTGCTATTGGACCTCAAAATGTTGCACAGAGCCTCTGCTCCTGGCGCTCCCAGCTCACAACCAAAACTCAATTCCTTCAGGGTCCTCTTATTCTCCAGGGCGACGGACATGGCCACTAGGTGCTGGTCATCCAGCGCAAATTCTCCCAGCACAAGGTTTCTCAATTTGGGGCTCAAATGCAACAGATTTCCCAAACTCTCACTGGACAATCGTCCCAACGAATTAAAGTCCAACGCCGTGATCAGAGCATCCTGCAGATTAGGCAGTCGAGCCATTTCCTCCAAAACAGGGCCCAGAATGTACCTGGAAGAATCTCGGTATTCTTCACTCAAATAACAGGCGTAAATGTGCAGTTTCTGTAGCTTTGGCTTTTGCCGGAGTGCTTGGGAAAAAGTTTGAAAATCATCCAGACTCCCCGTCAAGTGAACGCACGACAATTCCAGAACTTGGAGCTTGGAGGCATTTCGAATGGTGGCAGCCAGCAACGAAACTGGGAGCTTATCACCATCGGAACCAATAAAATCCCAGACTATCCGCTCCAGTTTGGGCAACCGTCCCAAGGTTCGAAACAATCTCCATACTTCCTGTGATAGCCAGGACTCGTCCATGAGAAACTCGCAAAAGATAGATACCTCTTTTACGGTAGAATTTGACGCCAGAGCTCGGGTGAAATCAGTCACGTTGGACAGATCGTCAAGCGGAAGATGGAACCTCTCAAATGAAGAATTGTTTTGTCGTAGCCGGTAAGCCACTCGACGAAGGTGTCCATTGTCCATCTCCTATGGTAGCGTGGCAGTGGGATCTGGGATGAGCGTTCGATGTGTGGATGTCGGCAAATAACAATAATAATGCCTTTTGAATTCATTTACAGTCTGGTAGCTACCGGTAGCTAGGTAAGCAAGCAGGAGAAGTGTTTTTCTCGTAAACCCTCGACCTTCTATTTCATTATTTACGATAAAGATCCAACCAGATCGACAGCATCCCCCCAATCCAACAGCGGACCACCATGGCGGACAAGACCACTAATACTACTGCTGCTGCTATTGACAGTAAGCAGCCACCAACTAGCTGCAAGACTCGTGATGAGATGCTGGCAAGGTTTTTGACGATTGACAGTCTCAATGATATTGTCCTCAAAGGCAATGATGGAGTGGAAGTACCAGCCAACCGCTTCTTGCTTGCCGCACGGTCTGATGTCTTCATGGGCATGCTGCTGGGAAAGTTCCAAGAATCATCGTCTCCAGTAGTAGAGCTTGGATTTTCAGGAAGTGTCCTCAAGGCAGTGGTAGAGTTTGTGCTCACAGACACATCAAAAGTGCTCAACTGCAAGAAGCGGAAGGCACCTGATTCAGAAAAGGAAGCTGTGGATATCAGTCCTGCACAAATTGAAGTGTTTGTGTCATTGGCAGAGGCAGCTTCCTATTTTGATCTTGCTGGCCTCACTGAACTTGTGCTGAAATTTTTTGAAAGGCTTCTCAAGGATAATCCATGTGCATCATTTGCAATCTTGCAAGCATGCAGAATAGCTGGCAACTCAGTTCCGGAGGTGTTGGTTGAAAAGGCAAAAGCTTGGGTTCAATCAACCCCATCAAAATCATTATCCGCCTCCCATGTGGCCATGTTGAGCACTGATGTTCTGGAAGAAATGCTCATGGATTCACAGATGGACATGTCAGAGTACGAGCTCTTCAAAATCCTATCCCTCTGGGTAGATGCCGACCCCCGTGGGAGAAAGGAACAAGGTGTTCTCCTCTCCAAGCACATTTCCTATGAAAAGATTGATATTGAAAAATTGACAACAACAGTGGCTGCATCAGGGTTGGCTCCATCAGAGCGACTTAATGAAGCGTACAAGAATCAGGCTTTGGCTCTCAAGAAGCATGTGCCGTCAGCAACATTCCAAGAATCTCGAAGATCACCCTGGGTGTCCCAGAAACCTGACAACTCTGCTGAAGCTCCAATCGCAATCAAGGTGCAAGGAGCTGGGACAGAAGAAGTGAATGGGGTTTACACCCGGGATGGAGCACTCGATGGCATACCTAGATACAGCATGCAAGGGATCTATGGTGGCGAACAATGTAAATTCTGGATCTATCTTGACGTGTCTTGGTGGTTCATAGACATTCTATCAGGTACGAGTCCTAATTTGACAGCACTTGCAGAATTCTACAAAATTCGCCATCAAAATGGTGTTAGTCTTCCGACACATGTGGGGTGGCAGCGACAAAAAGATGGTGCTGAATCTCCTCCAAATTTACTGTTCAAGTTTCAATAAAATCCAATCAAAATGGTCAGTAGTGGTCACAGTACAGTTGCTCTTGGTTTTAGCATGGATTCAACATATATTTCTGCTGGGCCAAACGAAGTCTGAATGGAAACAGGACTTGACACCCATGCATTTGAATGCTGCTGACATGTACTCAACTCCTGAAGCTTGGAGCGAACATCACTTTTGACTAAATATTTGTTTTGAAACCTGCTTACTGAGTGCTGATGTTGCTGCAGCATAACGCAGCATAATGAATGTGGGCCCCTCTGGAAACTGATGAGTTATTTATTCTCCTCCAAATCGAATTTGAATCCTACAGCAATCATTCACCTCATTAGATCCAGTCATATTTGGTCCAAAGTTCGGCAGGCATTCGTTGCGCACCAAGAAAATAAGCTGGAGAAAACTCCAACAACAGCAGCTGTTGTACTGACCTCGGAAAGTAGCAAGCTATTCTATGGTTTTAGAGCCAAGTGATGTGCTACAATCTGAAATCTCTCGCGAAGATAAAAGCAGCGGGCTGCCATTTTCACACGGATTCGACTCCTCTTCTTGAAGTTTACCTTTTCCGATGAGGTACTGGTATAGGTGCCCAATATTGCAATAGATGGAAAGGACACAAAGTCTGAAGCCGGGACCCCTCCAAATATAGTACTCAAGTTGCATTGAACACACCTAGACATGATCACTTTGCGATGGCTTGCTCTTGGCCGTTGGAAGGATCCCAACTCCACTCCTTATCTTCGTTTCCACTCGAATGAATGGATCGTTGCTGTACGTATCATTCATTCCTCCACGCACCCACACATCAGCTCGCAGTAGTAACTTGAGTAAGTTCTTGATTCCACCACCGCGTGGACGTCATTTCGGTGATGCGACTGGCGGCCCGTTGAAAGGCAAATGCCAGTTCTCGAACGCTGGCCAATGTACTGACGGGTTGTCCCCCTTGTGTTTGCACATCTTCCAAGCCCAGTGCTTCTTGTACGACGTCGTCGGATGACGTCGTATCATCGCTGCTTATAACACTGGTGGCAGGTGTTTCAAACAAGTCATCCGGTGTGGTCAAAACGGTAGTGGTGGAACACAGCAAGGCGCATTTTCCTTCGTACAATTCATCGACCAGTGTAATGAATCGTCGGGCCCGATTGTGATGGTAAGTCGACAAGGGAGGAACGTTTTGAACAACGACGATCGCAAAGTGTCGTGCTATGGCACGATAATCCGACGCACCCACGTCCGTGTCGCAGAGTTGTTCAAAGTCAAAGATTCCAACGAGATGGCGAATGCCTCGAGTGACGGTCAGAGTGCGACCAAATCCCACGGGCAAGTCAAACGAGTGCAGTGGATTGTCACCGTTGTTGTTGAGCACTGTCGCTGTGTTTGCCACAATACTATCGACCATCTCGGGGTCATGTTTCAAAAAGAAGGATCCGGTATGGTTGGGTGGTAATAATTTCAGCCGACTGTTGGCATTCGTTGTTTGATGATCATTCTTTGTGTGGTGATCATTGTTGTCTGTGTTGTTGTTTTCCACCAACCATTTTCGATAATCCCCGACATTCGATTCGAGAGAGTGGACGATACAGTATTGTTGTAGTAGATCAATACAAGGCAAAAAGTAACTTCGATTGAGTCCGTCTTCGTAGAGCAGAGAGGGCGGTCGATTGGACGTGGCTACCAAGACGGTCCCATGAGTCAGTAGAACTTCCAACAGCAATTGTAGAATCATGGCATCGGCCACATCGGTGACTTGAAATTCATCCAAACAGAGCAAGGGTGTGGATTGGGCGAGTTGCAAGGCGACCCGGACAATGGGATTGCGTTGGTACGACGTATCAATGGCAAAGTTGCGTCCTTTGGTACGCAAGTCGTGTTGTTGCAGGGCATGGATTTGTTCATGGACCATGGCCATGAATTCGTGAAAGTGATAGCGTGATTTTGATTTTGTTGTAGTTGTAGTAGTTTGTTGTTGCTGTTGTTGGAAACTCTTGTAAAAGGTGTCCATGAGCAAGGATTTGCCCGTGCCGACGGGACCGTGAATGTAGAGTCCGCGAGGAATGCGTGGCAGATGTGGGTGAGTCTTGTCCTTCTTTCCCCCCTCATTTTTGGATTCTTGTTTGTCTATTGTGTCTTCTTGTTCACTTGATTCTTGCTCTTCTTTACTTGATTCTTCTTCATCTGATTGTTCTTGTAGCTGTTGAAAGAATGGTTGATTGGAGTATCCGTCTAGCAGTGCCGTTTGAAGTCTGTGCAACCTCTTGGCCACTTTTTGCTGTGCCTTGTCTGGTCGGAGCTTTCCCTCTTCCACTTGACGATTCCAGAGTTGCAAGAAATTCTCGGTTGGTTTGACGGTTGTAGTAGTCGAAGAGAAGCAGATGCATTGACCACCTTGACGGAAATGCAGGTGTGATGGACTTGGCAATAAGCTGAATTGCCGTCTTCGAGCACTTCTTCTAGCTAAAAGAAGTAAGGATCTCATTGTCGGGTCGTCAGTCAGGTCGATTGCTGCAGGCTATGGCTTCTACGCTGCTTCCTTCATCCTCCTTCTTCTATCTTGTGTCATCTTCATCATTTCCAGATCACCAATGCCAGCTCATCCGCATACGAAGAAGAGGAAAGAAAAATGAGGCCAGGCTGGCAACAGAATCTTTTCAAGCTCATGACCCGTTTTCTCGTATCCAACATCAAACCCGCAGCCACCGAGCTTCACAACAAAAGGAGACAACAAACTAACTTGCTTTCCGCAGCTATCACTCGAGCAGCATCTTTAGCTCCTTCATCTGCCTTGATCTCTCAGCATCTATCTACATCTACATCTTCTGTTTACTACATTCACTAGCCATTAGCACTAATCAGCAGCATGGAATCCTCTGCCAAAGTGACGCTATTTGAAGATATTTTCGAGACGACGGCCCTCAATCCAGACGGCTACAAATTCGAACGCGTCAATCGACTGCAAGCCATCGGAACGACTTTTGAATGCGACTTGTTGCTCGATATCAATTGCGAAATTTATTCCGTCAAGGAAAATGACAAATTTACACTCGTATTAGCATCGACACTCCATTTGGACGGATCCCCCGCCGATCATTTCTCCTTTGTCCCCAATGCCAATACCGAACCGTCGTTGGCGGACAATTACGAATACGTCATGCACGGACGTGTCTACGAAATGAAATATCAAAAAGATGGCGTCGTTGCCATTAGTATCAGTTATGGAGGACTCCTCATGAGATTATCGGGAGATCAACGACACTTGACCAATATCTTGCCCGATATGAGATTGTATCTACTCATGAAGAAGGATTAATGAAATAAATGAAATGTTGCGACAATAGGCAGAATTTACAGAGAAAAAAAGAGAGAGGGACTTGATACATGTACATGACGTGGGAAGAAAACAATGAATTAAATGGACAATCAACTATAATATATTTGGCGAACTGACATGTTCGATGCACGTGTGGCGCTGCTCTTTTTGGTTGCTACGAAAGCGGTGTGTTCCCCATGGTCAGCCCATTGCTAGATTGGAGGCATTTTCTTTAGTGCGTCGCAGCAGAAGAAGTGTCATCCCCGGTGTAATAGAAGCAAGCTCTTATTCGATGTTAGATGGAAAGAAGCATCACTTCAGCCTGTAGACAAGTGTTGCCCATGTATGTATGAAATACTCGTACCCGTACTGTACCGATCCTTTTCGTACAAGTAGATATTATTATGGCTCCTCTTGGGCAGAAATTTGAAATATCTATACACTTGCAGAAAAAATCCTTGCAAAACTCGTGGCTCCTAGCTTCTTTGATATCATTGCCATCCAAACTTGAATCTACGGCTGATCCGCAGAACAATCACAGTTGCATTCGACTTGGTCACAGTCCACAACCAAAAGAGGTTGGCTAGATGACCCGCTTTGCTCGAGGCACAGCCAAGGGCACAGCTCCACAGGAAGAGACCCCGTAAACGCATTCCCTTCCAAAACAACCGACGAATGCAGCGTCATCAAATTGGCCAATTCGGACGGAATGGTACCAGCAAGATTGTTGAACGACACATCCAGGGAAACGGGAGGCAACAAGGATGTCGGGGGAACATCCAAGTAGATGAAGCGGGCATTGGAGGCAATGTTGTTGATATCAAACAAACTTCCCGTGAGCTCGCCCAGGTAACTGATTGTGACATAGTCCAAAAGGGCAAAGGGTTCACTGAGGGCATCCACAAGATCCTTGCGAGTCGGTATGGGTGCTGCAATGCCGTCCAAGAAGTCAAGTCATGTGAGCGCGAGAAAACAAAAGAAACAAGCGGATCCAAGGCATGAATCCAAGCAAGCCCAGCGTACCTTCATCGAACCGCACAGCAGCCACAAAGTCAACAAACACTCGATTTTCACCTTCCAGTGTCGAGTCCAGGGATGCATTCAATGCCACGAGCTCGACGTGTCCGGGGCTCTGATGAAACTGCCCACTGATAAAATCCGAAAGGAATCTTGACGTTTGCTTTCTGACTGCTTCCATTTCGGAATCATACGGCATTCTGGCCACATCCTGTTGCCAATCATGAAAGCCATACTGGATCCTAAAGGCCATACTGACAGTTTTGTTGCCGGCATAGAGGTGACGCCGGCACAGTAGTGTGCCAACTTCCAGTGGAAGAGTACCAGACAGCGCGTTGTCCGACAAATCCAAGTGACACAATTGCTGACCAAAACCAGTGTCCTTGGAATCATTGTCATTGCCAAGAACAGTAGAGTTGGCCTGCAGTTGTTCTTTCCAAAACAAGGAATCCAGTGGTCCTACCAAGCTGTTGGAGCTCATCGCCAAGCTCCGTAGACTTGCCAGACTCCCAAACTCAAGGGGGATCGTGCTGGACAAATCATTGAAAGAAAGATCCAATGCTTGCATGTCAGTCAACTGTCCAATCTCACTTGGAAGAGAGCCAACAAAGTTGTTGGCAGCCAATGATAGCTCCACAATGGAAGAAGCTGTTCCTAGCTGTGTTGGGAGAGTGCCAGAGAAGTGATTGGATGCAATGTTGAAGCTATTAACCCATGGAATGCTCTCAAAGAATCCAGAATGGAGCGACCCTGTTAGCGAGTTGCCGGAGACATCAAGCATCAGAGGTTGCACAAACTCAGGCATAACAAAGATTGGAATAGTTGTCGTACTGTCCCAGACATAGTTGAATTGGAAGGAGTTGAATGGAAACAAGACATTTCGGACCATGCTCTGTGATGGGGGCGAGTCTGGCAGTACTATAACCAATGTGAGTGATGAGGGCTCAAATTATGCATACTTCCATTTTGAACGCTTACCACCTGAAACGGCAATGCTGAGCTTGATTTCTGATTGGTATGGGCTTATAATGCTGACAATTGTTGTGTTGAGGCTCTCAAAGCCATTAAATCCATTGCTGAGAATGTCCGATGCAGCATCATTCAATTGCGCTAGTAAATCCTCGGTATCGTACTGAGGTGCAGCAAGAAGGGTTCCTCTCAGTACAACTGTTGTGGTGCCATTTTCTGCAGGTATTTCAAGGGTTTCACCATAGCACAAAGCGAATAGTGCCTCAGACAGGGACCCAACCATTTGATTGTTTGAAGCATCGATGAAACACAGCTTTCGCAACAAACCCAATGATGAGGGCAGTTTTCCTGTGATCTGATTTGTACCAATATGCATGAAGGAAAGCTGGCTCGCAGAGCCAACCTCTTCGGGCAGAGATCCAAATAGGCCATTTGCAGAGAGATCCAATTGTGCTAGTGATGAAATGGAAAATATCTTACTTGGGATACTTCCGGTGATCAAGTTTGAACTGAGGTTGAGACCCACAATGCTATTGGACAGGCCAACTTCAGAGGGAATGGAACTCGAAAGAGCATTTTTTGCCAAATTCAGCTGAGAAAGCATTGGCAAATGAAACAGTCCTCTTGGGATTGATGAAACAAGATTGTTGCCTGTCAAGTCAATGCCACTGAGGCTTGTAGCCAACGCCAAATCTGGTGCAATAGATCCTGAGAGAAGGGAATTTTGCACCCTCAACAACTGCAAGCTTCCCAGTAAACCGAATTCGGTGGGTAAAGGGCCTGAAATTTGACTGTCGCTTAGATCCAAGTGGCTCAATGATGACAGAAGTCCAAGCTCAGAAGGAATCTTTCCATACAGTGCATTGTCATAGAATTCAATTGATGTCAAGGAGGGTGCCAGCAGGGCAATTTCTCTTGGGATTGTTCCGTGGAGCTTATTGTTGCCCAGGTTGATAGAGTCAACTTCTTCTTCATAAACATCACAGCCGATCTGATGCCAGGAACAAACTGTACTGGAAAGCTCATAGTTAAACCAGTTGGTGGAGTTGGTCCAACTTGCTCCATCAGTTGACCAAAACAAAGTCCCCAGAGTGAACCCTTGCACCTTCTGCAGCAGGGGCAAGCCAAATAGGAATGGTTCGTTCAACAACCAGCTGGCTGCTTGAGCTGGCGGTGATAGGTGGTTTTGCAATATCTCTGCTATTGTTGCATTTGTCAAACTCAGCTCATTAAGTAGTACTTGGGCCAGCTCTGTCTCCAAGAGCGCAGTAGGTGCGAGGGTGGGGGACATGGTGGGTGTGGCGGAAGGAACCTGAGTGATTGTTACCATGGTAACTTCCATTGCCCCGTTGCTGTCTTGTCTGGAGAGGCCCACCGCCAATCCAATGATGAGCATCAAAAATACAAATAGCACCCCTGCTATGAGTCTACGCCCTGTTTGGCTCCTTAGAAAGCTGCTCGCCATCTCGTTGTCATCCATTGCTTTGGCTTCAGCCATGGGTTTGTCGCTTTCATCCATTTGACTTATTGGAGGGGGGTCATCGTCGACCAAGGTGGCCTCCACGAGGACCTCGATGGACAAGTCTTGATTCGCTGGTATTGCTGGAGCTTCAGGATCTGGATCATTGTTGTGGCTGGATTGACTAGGATCCTGAATGCCATCAATTTCTTCCTGTGTGGGTTGAGAATGAAACGCACCAGGTGCACTGGGCTCTGGAGTTGGCTCTACAACGCAAGGAGAGGCCTCGGAAGAAGCAGCAACATCTTCATCGGTGGAATCAGCTGAACCCCATGCCCCAGTTCTCGATTTTAACTGATTTTCCTTTTCTGCTCGCTTGGCAGCTCTATTCTGTCGCTCTTGAATGCGACTCCTTGAGGTTTCGAACGAAACGTCAGATTCGGTGCTTTCTGCAAGCGAAATACCGGAATGGGTAGATTCCCGTGATGCCAAAGATCCAGTCCCAATATTGTTCTGAGATTCCTTGGCTCTCCGACTGAGCCCTCTGTTCGTGGATTGACTTCTGGAAGAAGCGTCAATCGATGGTGGTTTCTGTGGGTGCGGCTGCTGTTGCCTAGCAGCGTCCTTGGCGGCTTTGTCTCGACCGAGCCCTCTGTTGGTAGATGATCGTCGCGAGGCAGAGTCCAATAGTGGAGCGCTTTGCTGTTGCCTCGTGACTTCCTTGGCAGCCCTATCTTTCTCTTCAAGTTCTCGAGTCAACGTTCGAACTTCTGCGCTCTTGTCGGAACCTGCCAGAACTGAAGAACATGCAGTTGACGGACCTGCCCGTCTGGCTGCTCGCTTGGCTTCTCGGTCTTTCTGTGAGCGAGACGAAGAGACCGTACCATCGTTGCTGCCATCATCGCTACCGCTGATCGTGCCAGTGGCGGGGGTTCTCATGGATTCTCGAGTGATTGAAGTTCTGGCTTGCCGCGCAGCCCTTTTGGCTTCCCGATCCTTTTGATCCCATTCTCGCGCCAAATCTCTGACTTCCGACAGCTCTGTCTGCTGTCTTTCATCAGTATTGGACTTCTGATCCTCTTGATTCTTCATATGCATGAGGTATTTAGAGTTGTGTAAGGTGGCTTCGAAGACTGTTGCCAGAATGCTTCTGTCCTCTTTGCTTCCAATCTGCGAGAAAGTCCCTTTGTACCGGTGTCTTTGAGTGAGAATGGTGGGTGGTGGAGTGAGTCTTGTTGGCGGAAGGAACTCACTGGATCCATTACTCTTGTATTAGTGCTCGCATTTCTTGAAAAGTATTTCCAACGTTAAATCCATGAAAGTGGTACAAACCGGTACCAGGTACAGCGTATTTAAATAGCATACTCGAGTAAGGTACTGACAGTTTATTTCCATTTTTGTCTCTCTCCTCTCTCCCCAAGCTGTCGATAGCCAGGCGGATAGACAAATGAAGATCTCGCACGGTGCGATGAGGTTGCTATCCTACCAGTACGACGCATGGGGGTACTAGTATATTGGACGTTGCCAGCGTGCCTTATGTGGCCCAGAGTATTCAGCACAGTCCAGTCTACTGGGGCGGTGGCTGGCTCAGTCGCCCCTTCAAGGGCAAGGAACGCCCCGACAAGTACGTTGCATCTCATCCTCTAGCTGAGCATTGAAAAGTCCCCAGTAGCGCAGAGCAATCACCGAGATAATAGACATCCAAAGCGCTTCATGTAGATACAATCCTATTCCTTTTTAATACAACGTATTTCTTCCCTCCCCGACAAACGCGTTCGGACATTCTTTCGTTTCATTTGATTTCATATCAATGGTCCACACGTGTCCAGGACGGTGCATCCTACAGTCAAAGCCTGTCTCCCAATAGTCAAATAGCTCGGAAGATGATGTAGACCAGACTGGTTCTCGAGACGCCAACGGTGAAACAGAATCGTTGCCCCAAGCATTGCTTAATGATACTTGCGAGATCACTTGATTGCTCGTCCCAAGAGCAAGGTGTCTGTCATGTAATAACTCCAACCTCGAAGTGGCCGAATCGGCCAGCTCGGTTGGAAGAACACCAGTCATAGGGTCTTGGGAAAACACGCTGCTGTATTCAAGCAAGGTCTTGGACGCTTCAATAGGGTTTGCAAAGTCGAGTGGTGGCGTGGTTCCAGCAATTCGACTCTCTGCCACTTCAAACAGTTTCAGGGTTGAACAAGATTGGACCATAGCATCCCTCGCTGGCACTGCAGCAGTATGTAGCGGCTTTATGCCCGCAGCTCTGGAGGTTTGGTATAGTGTTACCAATGTCTCCCTCACGAGCGGTGAGAGCTCCAACAGAGACACAGGCGGTTCGTTTCTGTGTTGCATGGATGTATTCCAATAAGACAGAGCCGTGAATCTACTCCACTTTTGAGTCAAGAGTAAAGGGACCGGGCCACGTATTCTCAGCAAAGAGTACCTCGTCCACTCACTTCCAAAGTGAAGCGGAACAGTGTACCTTTGCGAGGCCTTTGGCGGGAGCGCCAACGAGGCTAGGTCAGCCATTAGAATGCGACTTTGTAGTTTGTTGTACTCCAGTTGTCGCCGCCGTTCTTGGTCCAGATCCAAGACGGGACTCCTAGCAGGTGTAGCCTGGGGTGCCTCCTGCTTGCTCTCGGTCTGAACCACAAGATCGCCGTGTGGGATACGAGCAGTAGCAGCTAAGTTTCTCAGATCCATCAAGTCAGTCATAGCTCCCGCTGACAGTGGCAGATTGTTCATCTCGGACGAGAGGCCGATCTTTATTGGGTAGGACCCTAGCAATGTTGCTTTGGGAAGCCAATCCATCGGTAATGCGGTTGCCAAGGCTGCGAGTTCCGTCGGGACCCTGTCCCACCACAGAAACGGTTGTGATGCTTTGCTGCCCACCTCAAAGGGCACCATTCCATGCAGTGAGTTTAGAGATATGTTGAGTCCTCTGAGCTCATTCATTGCCCTCGGATCCCAATCTGGATCATCATCACTGGGAACTGGGGTATCAATATCGTCAGGCAAGGCAGCATCAGCCACAAGTTGGGATATCCATAGGGACGGACTCCTTAGCCCGACCACGGGAGTTCCATTCCGTCTTATGTAAAATCCCTTCCAATCGACGACACTGCGTGAAACAATCACAGCACCGACGCTAGTGGCAACCAGCAAGACTATGCAGAGGTATCTGGTACTGTGGTTTCGTCTTCCCATTATCACCTCTGAATTCCTCGTTCGTTCTTTCGGCAAACGGGGTTTGATCAATATTGGCGGGCTGCTGCTACCGCATTGCCTGCCTGGCAATGTAGGCATGGTTATCAGAAACGTGTCCACTGAGGAAGCAGTCTCTGGCAAGGGAAGCCGACGAGCTATTACCGTGCCACGATCGGTGTCACACTTTGAGAACTGAGCCACACTGATCGGTGACAGACAGCTCGCCTTGGCGTCCCAAGAATCATCGTCCAAGTCGCTCATGGTGGTACTGTTACCACACTCATTCATTCAATCAATAGCTAGCTACTAGCGAGAATGTTGCGTACCCTTCTCTTGTGCAAATTAGGTGATGGTTATTGGCTTTCCCACACCTTTACCCACTCACTCGCTTGTTTGGAGGCAGCTTTCTTCGAATTTTTGTGAAGTGTGGCAGCTGATTGAGTCTGACGTGGCAACCAAAACGTATCTTGTTTGTCAACAGGAGAGGCCAAAGAACCAAAGAATCTGGGAGCGCGAACCGGTGTTCATGTCACTTAAAGGAATGGTCGCCTTTCTCTTCAACTCGGGAAAAGTTGAAAAGGCTTTTGGTTCACGGACAGAGGCAGCTTCCACGGCACGGCAGCACAACCTCAAGCGTGGAGAGAAGATTGTTTCACTTGGAGAGAGCCTTGGAGTTTGACTGACTTCCGATGCGGAGAACACCGGGACAAACAATCCAACTGCCCTATCAAACATTGTTGGATTTGATTGCATCATTCTGCCTTGCCATTGGATCAAAATTTAATTTAAGATGGAGGAGATGGTAACAGGGGTGCCGCCTTTCTTTGCACCGCCCCCATGGCCCCATGGCCTTTTTGGAGTGCTTCCGCTGGAGAAGGATGTCAGGAGCATTGTCTGCTCAACTGTGTAGTTACAAGTGTCCTTTTGTGAATTGGGTGGTTCGAGACTCTAGCTAGAGTCTCTCTTGCAAAGGTGACTATACCGGTAGCCAAACTTCTTACCAGTCTGTGATGAAGCAAACTGCTCCAGTCTGCTATGATGTCGACTGTGTCTCACTTGCATTCGCTCTGTTTTCTGCTTTGGTTACTCACATGTCTTATTTTGTAGTTCTAGAGTGCTGCGGTATCAAATGTCAAAGGAACGAGGCGGGCCTGCCACTGCCAGATGAAGGTCAAACGAAAGTTGCCAATGGTACCGGTACGGTACTGTACTACTGCCGTATATTATTTTATTATTTTAAATATTACCCCGTACCGGTTCCGGTACCGGTTCACTGCGGCTTTGCTGGCTACCGGTAGAGCTTTTAAATCTCTCCACGAGAAACCTTCTTTTGAAAGAGAAATGGGTTGGCAACGTCACAACATCACCGCGGCTCCGACTTCTCCTGTTTCCTCACTTTTTTAGCAAGGCTTCTCCGTCCCTCCGCAAAACTCCAAACCTCCATCAGATCAGCCGTTTACGCACAAATGAAGCTTGTTCGTTGCTGAAAGATTATTGTAAAAGCAGAAGCGTACGTTTGTAGCCTCTTCTAAACAACACCATGGAACCTCGCGCAGAAGATGAAAAGCCGAACGAGGACGACGCCGTGAAGCCTACCTCGGAAGTTGACAAGGCTGCCCCTGATACCGGCATCGACGACGATACCGGTACTGGTACCGATGACACGAAAATTGAGGAATTTCGAGTGTCGCTCTTGAAGAAGAACAAATCATGGTGGAAGGACCGGTTGAAGAAAGTAAAGCCTCAGTATCGTTTGCACACAGAGAAGCAGGTCTTACAGTGGTCTCTGCTGGCGTTGAGATTGGGAAGCTTAGCTGATGCCATCTCGTCAACGATCCTGACACCCAACTACCCCTTCATGACTTCGCCTGGGAACCACCCAGATTCATTTACTTCAACTGCTCCATTTGAATTTACTGCAGCCTTATACTTTATTCCAATGACAAGCATGGTCGGTTCGGCCATTTCATCAGCTTTCATTGGAGGTTGGAGCGACAAGTATGGGCGACGTCCATTTTTGCTCTTGTGCGTGGGTGTTTCCATCTTTGGATGCATTGCCAAGTACTTGGCTCGGGGTAGCTTTTGGGGCTTCTGCATTGTGAACTTCTTCAACGGGCTTTTCTCCAGCACTCTCACAGTGGCTTTGGCTTATGTAAGCGACGTGCATCCTGGACGGGCCGAGAAGGATGGCGAAATTGGTCAACTAGTTGGTCTGAATATGCTTGGCATCACGGGTGGAGGAATCATCGCTATTCTGATGGAGAGCACAGGATTGTTTACTCCTCTCTTTGTTGGGGCAGCGCTTAATGCTGTGGCGTTTGCCTTCATGTTCCTCTATTTGGTTGAGCCGGATGAATCCCTGCACTTCACAGAAACCGTAAGCGAGGAAGACAAAGTCGGGCCTTCTACTTTGGATGTCAAGCTGATGTCCAACGTGATTGCTGGAGCTGTTGTTGACAACATTGGATCGGCCGGATTGTATCCCATGGCTCTGGCTCCACTAATGTTTGAAACTTACTACGGGAACTTCAAAGTCCTGGAGCTTACGCCCGTCATGAATGAGACGGCCTACAAGTGGATCACAATGCTCCTTGCTCTAACCGTTGTCTTTGGTAAGTAAAGCTGCCCCCAATCCTGTCGCTGCCAATCGCATCTATCTGATCTGAATCGATTCTTCCGTTCCACAAAACAACCACAGGAGCTGCAATGTCAACGCCAGTATTTCAATGGGTTGGTCCTGCCGTTGCCTGTGTTGCGGCAAACTTGGTAACTGCCGCCGGTATTTCAAGCTGCATCTTGATTGCACAACAGATTGCGGCTACGCGTGGTAGCTTCATTGGCTACGTTCTGTTTCTCTATGCCATCAATCCATTCACGGTACTCTCCAACCTTTCCACGGGACCAATGCTTGATCGATTGTCACCGCATGATCGTCGAGGATTTGTTCAGGGTATCAACGTTACCGTGATGAACCTTGCTCGATCTGTCAGTCCTTTTGCCTTGGGAGCTTATGCGGATGCCGTGGGGACGACTTGGTGCATGTGGACCTGTGTGTTTATAAGTGTCCTGGCAGCCGTCGTCAATGCTCCATTAATGTTCTCACCCGCGTTGGCCGTCCACAAAGCCGCTTCCGAAGAGCATGTGGGAGGCGAATACACGGCGCTGGATACAGAGGATACTGATCAAGTGCATCAGGTTATGCAGGGCGACTGGGTGCCCACCAAGCTACTTTCAGAGCTCAACGAGCATCGCTTTAGCGCTGGCTTGCCCTTTCTTTTGCCACCCATCAGATCCTACCAGGAGGATAAACCCAACCTCTGCACTCTGTACAAGCATAGTCGTGAGGACTTTGAATTTCAGCATTTTCGACAATACTACTACCTCAGCCTTCAGGATACCCCAGAAAACAAACGAAGAGTCGTGGAGCATCTCCGCCAGTCTTGCCCTTCCAAAGAGGTTCAGAAGGAACGGGCAGATGTAATCGGAGATTGGTGTGGTGAGTATCTCTTCGAAAATGGCTACTTCCTGGACGGTGGGCAGGTTAACTTGATGAAACAAATGATCATGCTGGCCTTCCCCAGGATCAACGCCGACGGGGAAATGACTGAGCAGAACATCAGTGAAACTACTGTGCGCTTTGCCAAGGTTCTCAATGAGTACTTCCTCAAGTCGCAACCAACACAAGCTGCACAGGCATTCCGAAATAGCGTCGTCATGTGATGGCGAATCTTCCGCCTTTGAAGTACATGCATAGCGTAAAATAGATATCAGTGGCAGCAGTGAGCTCCAACGCCAACTTCTTCTATTAGTAAATAGTTTCAGTGTACCAGTACTACTTCATAAGTGCCGTCATGGCGAAGGGATCATTGTCAACTTCCATAGGGGTGAGTTCATAAATCTGCCTACTCTTTTCCAGCAAGGCCTGCTGGATTGGGATTTTGCCATCCTCTGTGATGGCACGCTCAATTTGCTCTGTGACTTGTTTGGTTTCCAATGCTTGGTCGGGCAAGATGCCTTCCAGGATCCGTCCCAAAAGCCGAGCAGCAGACCGAGTGATACAGTCTGGCAAGGGCGTGTTTTGCTTCATTCCAGAAAACAAGGTCAAAAAGATAGCATCCTTCTTGATCCGCTCGACTAATTCATCTCCACCTTTCATTCCTCGGTCACCTCCAATCAAAATGAGTGTCATTAAAAAGCCGTGTCCCGCATAGAAACTTCGTCCCAACGAACGCATTGCCTGGTTCACATCTTCCGGGCTGCAAATACCATTTCGGACTAGTTTGTCTCCATGGACCAGATTGATTCTCAAAAAGGAATTGAAGACATGTCCCGGGATGGTTTTCTTCATGACAATAACACCAAAGGCAGCCTTGGCATACCATTCTTTGCAGCGAGCCACCCAATCAGGAGCAATTCCATAAATCTCCATAAAGCTGCTAAGGTGTGGAATGGCTGGTTGCGTTACGTTGCAAGGAAAAAGCAATACCGGTATGTATGTTAGCGACAGCACAATGCCATTGTGACGAAGAGCCCAATTTCCTTTCATTATTACTTGCCAGGATGCCCAATCAGGATGCGATGTTTGTGAGTGCATTGGGTGACCAATAGAGTCCAGGGAATAAAGGAGGTGCTGCTGGCAATGATGACAGACGGATCGACCAGGTGGTCCAATTCTTGCAGAATTTTCTGTTTGTTGTCGACATCTTCCCAGGTGCATTCCTGTACAAAATCAATGGTCTGACCTTGTTTTTGAATTGCATCCACAGCTGCTGTCAACGAATCTGATTGAGACAGTGCCGTGTCAATGGGAGCTTCTTGGAGTTTGGTGATTCCCCGTGCCAAAATGGTGGGCCACACCATTTTGATACGGTCTTGGACCGTCTCCTTGGTCGCAAAGGGGTCCATTACATGCACCTTCAATCCACGGGACAAAAATACAGCGGCAAAACTAGATCCAATGGTGCCCCCTCCAAGCACCAAGACAACTCGCTCCTTGGAGTCATTACTATTAGTTGTTGGTACAGGGGGAGCATTACTTGTGCTCAGGTCGTCATGCCCTTTTCGTAGGAGCCAGGAATAGATGATACCTCCTCCCACAGCCAGCAGTGACACGGCAACTCCTGCCTGGAGAGAGTTGACGGATGAAAGGTCCAAGTTGCTGGTAGTAGTAGAGGACGCCATGGTTGTTTGTGGTCTACTTTTGTGAATGGCTTAGTTGAATTCACAAGCATGCTTTCATCCCGAGTTTGGTCTTCCGTTCCAGCAAAGGTTCACCTTTCTTTGGATTTGGATCTTTGCGAATTGAGAAAGGAAGGATCTTTCTCTGGACCGCTCGGAAAATATTGAAGCTTTTCTTACCGGACATTTATCCAACCGACGGCGGTTATCCAGTTTGAATCCTTTAAATACAAAGGTTCCATTAGCCTGTGCCCTAGGTGGTTCCTTTAAATAAAGGATTAGAAGGCTATGACCAGAACAGGCCTGGCCTTGCTTCCGCTTTCCGCCTTCTAAATAGCAACTGTAGACAGTGGTTGGAGGCATCGAGACAAAAACAATGAGTACTACTAGTAGCTACCGTAGCTAGCTAGTAACGTCACCAATTGTAGCAGCAGCAGCGAAAGAGAGGCATCGAGGCAGCAACCACACTCATTCATTCGTCGTCGCGAAAGAAGTGATCCGAGTCTCGACCATGATGACGAAGATAAGCAATCTGATTGTTCTCTTGAAAGCCGCCAGCTTCCTGGCGTGGGTAGATGCGGAAGCTATCAACAAAGTCAACGCCAGGTACGTCAAGGTTTGGAGCAGTTTGCTTCTGTGACTGTGTGTATATCTCCGAGTCTTCTAACGGTCTTTTTTGCTGTTGTCCATGGTATGTATCATTCCAGAGCCGGTCCCTGCCCTGACTACCCCAACCAAATTGGGTATAAAACTATAGCCGATCTGAATTTGGATCAGAAGGATGAGGCGGACAGGATCTTTGAGGGAGATCCTCCCAGGACCCCGTATGTCTTTTCATTGTGCTCCCCGTACACGTACTCGGTGGATAATGTCGACCAGGAAGCCCTCAACGTGATGTTGGATAATTCCATTTTTACGTGCGGCAACGAGGGAAACAACAACAACAACAACATCAATGAAGGACAGTGTGTGTTGGAGGGAGCGGGGCATCAGGTCGTCGTACCTCCTAGGATGACTGTAACGTTCCAAGGCATTACCTTTGCCGATTTCACTGGTAGCTCTACGGAAGCGGGTGCGGATGCCAAGCTTATTTTTAATGACGTTATCTGGACTGGATTGGAAGATACTTCGGTGCTGGTGGCTCACGACAGCCCGATTACGGTGGAAATCAACCGTGGAAGAGTTATTGGAAATAATGGGGTCGATGGTATTTTGACTGTAGATGGGCACGGAGTCGAAGCGGATGTGCTCGTCAAATCTTCGGTTGGAACTGGATCGACATCTGAAAACGCCGACAACAACGCTGAGGTACGTAGCAACGCAATTTTGAACCGCGTGGATGGCCTCTCTCTCAAACCGAAACATCTAATTTTTCCACCCGTGGTATATACGTACGACGACATCGCGCAGAGCACTCGTAGGATGCACGTGACGAGTGAACATGCCTTGTCCAAGTTGGGAATCTCCATTTTTGGAGCTGTGACTGGACGTGGCAAAACACCTGCACGTGTTTCTCGATACCTCCAGTCGCATACCGTTGTGGATCCTACGACGCTGAATAATCCCAACTCGCCGCAGTCTCGTGCGGCTTCTTGGATTGCTCAGGATGCCTTTAGTGCCGATCTGCAAACCAGTGATCCAAAGTATGCACAGCGGTTTGCTCTTGCCACATTCTACTTTGCCACAAACGGAGACCACTGGGAGCAATGTGGACGAGAATCAAGCACTTGTGCCACCGCTGCCTGGTTGTCAGATGTCGATGAATGTACATGGTATAGCGTGGGGTGTACTCAACAGGGTGACGTTTTCGAAATCAGATTTCGTAAGTTACTTGGGTCAGGCATGTATTGCTGGTGGTGGTGGCTTGTGTTTTCTTCTATCTCATGCAAGTTTTCTCTGCTCTCCTGGCTGGCTGTAGCACCTGATGGGAATAATCTTGTTGGCCACTTTCCTGCCGAGTTGTCCTTACTTACTGGCATGAAGCGCATCATGGCTTCTTCGAATGCAATTGGTGGTAGTCTGGATGCCCCTCTTACCGGCCTGTCCTTGCTCGAGATCCTATACCTGCCAGCAAACCAATTCAGAGGTTCCATACCGGATTCGCTCTACTCGTTGACACGTTTGAACACGCTGTCACTTGCAGACAATGCGTTCACTGGGACCATTAGCCCTGATATTGGACAGCTCACACGGCTGGCAAAGCTGAACTTGGGAAAAGCTTCCCTGTCTGGAACCATTCCCCTGAGCATAGTGACACTTGATGCATCTCTCACTGATCTTTTGATAAACGACAACCAGCTTACCGGACCAGTGCCGGCAGCATTTGGCCAATTGACAAATCTTGGTAGGTCCTTTCCTTTGATGCAAGGTCTGTCTGCCTAGCTACTGTTGGCCTCACAGCGCTGTTGTCCTTTTGTGATACGGTTTGCTGTTGTTGGCAGAAAAACTGCAAATCCAAGGAAACCAGTTAACAGGAAGCATTCCCTCTGCTCTGTGTGCCCAGCAGTTGGGAACTTTGATAGTGGACTGTGAGGTGCAGTGCACTTGCTGCGAAAACTGTGGAAGTGCAGCAGTTGCAGCATCTCTTGCTTCCAGTGTTCTTTCTCTGGGAGACTCCTCAACCCTTGCGTCCTATCTTCGGGCCCTTCCTGTTACAGCTCCCAGTGTCTTTGATGACCCCTTTTCTCCACAGTCTCTGGCTGTGTCTTGGATCGCTCATGATAGCTTCAGTACTGGTTTGAGACTATCTGATCCAAGGTTGTTGCAGCGGTATGCACTTGCTACATTCTACTTTGCCACGGGAGGAGACAATTGGGAGCAATGTGGCCGTGAGTCTCCTAGCTGTTCAACGAACCCCTGGTTGACAGATGCGGACAGCTGTACTTGGTATAGCCTGGGGTGTACTCAGCAAGGAAATGTCTTTGAAGTCAGGTTTCGTAAGTCTGAGCGTTGCTGGTTTCAATGACCGAGTCTTCGATCTCATTCTATTCAATCCTTTGTCCTATGATCTGAATATCTTTAGCTCCCAACGGAAATCGTCTCATTGGATCCCTTCCTGCTGAGTTGTCCTTACTGACTGGGTTGAAGCGCCTTTTGGCTTCTTCAAATGGCATTGGTGGTACTTTGGATGCTCCTCTTGCTGGCCTGTCATTGCTTGAGATCTTGTATCTGCCATCAAACCAGCTCAGCGGTTCTATTCCGGATTCGCTCTATAGCTTGACCAGCTTGAACCATTTGACGCTTGCCGAAAATGCTCTCACGGGTACTATTAGCCCTGATATTGAACAGCTTGTGTCTCTCAAGGATCTCTTCTTGAACAACAATCAATTCAAAGGGCCATTGCCGGGTGCACTTGGGCAATTGCCTAGTCTAGGTATGTCTTTTATTTTTGCCAGTTGTACAAACCAGCAACAGGCCTCACATTTTGCCATTGTTGTAATTTTTTCGTGCAGAGAAACTAAGAATCGAAGGAAACCAACTTTCAGGAAGTATCCCTGCGGCCGTTTGTGCTCAGCAGCTGGTGACATTGGTAGTTGACTGTGAAGTGCAGTGTACCTGCTGTGACAACTGCGGAGATGCAGCAGTAGCTGCCATTGATGGTTCCACTGGAGGGCTGGAATCCTTTGTGGCGTACTTGAAGACCCTGCCTTTTACACTGTCCAGTGCTTTTGATGATTCCAGTTCCCCACAATCGCGTGCTGCTTCCTGGGCCATTGAGGAGGATGGCTTGTCTGCAAGTCTCCCAGTGCGCGATCCTAAGTTGTTGCAGAGATACGCTCTGGCCGCTTTTTACTTTGCAACAGGCGGAGACAGCTGGAGTCAATGTGGACGCAACTCAGCTGGTTGTGCAACCAGCAATCCCTGGTTGACAGCTGCTGATGAATGTACCTGGTTCAGCTTGGGTTGCTCCAACGATGGAGTACTTGTCGAAATCAGATTTCGTAAGTTTTTGTCTACCATGCCAGTTGTGTTGGCTACCTTTCTATCCGACTCATACGAACTTCTTGTTTCCTTATGGTCGGTTGCAGCTTCCGATGGGAACCGTCTCATTGGGCCTGTTCCTCCAGATGTGTCTTTATTGTCTGGCTTGAAGCGTTTCTCGGCTCCCACAAATGCGATGAGTGGTAGTTTGGATGCTTTTTCTGGCCTATCAAACTTGCAGACGCTCTATGTGTCATTGAATCGATTCAGAGGGTCCATACCCGCTTCAGTTTACTCCTTGACAAGCTTGGACACACTGTCACTTGAACAAAATGCTCTCACAGGTTCCATTAGCACTCTGATTGGAAGGTTGACAGATGTGTCAGTTTTAGAACTTGGGAGTAGCTCCTTGGCTGGGCCCATACCTGATGTGTCTCGGTTGATGCATCTTTCGGAGTTGAATTTGGAAAAGACCTCATTATCAGGAACAATCCCAGAAAGCATTGGGTCGCTGCATGCATCTCTCACGGATGTCTTTCTGAATGACAATCGGCTCACTGGACCTGTTCCAGCGGCCTTCGGCAGCTGACAAAACTTGGTATGTGTCACCCTTTGCTGTAACTACTGTCGATGCGTATTAGAGTGAACTTGCCGTTGGCCTCATCATTAATCCTTTACCATTGACTCTCTTCATGTCTATTGTGCATCTTCAGAAACACTACAGATCCAAGGCAACCAGTTGACGGGAGTACTCGGCTGCTCTCAATATCGAAGTATTCCCGTGGCTTTCTGTTCTCAAAACATGTCAGCTCTGGTTGTTGATTGTGACTTGGATTGCAGCTGCTGCGATAGCTGCGGGGAAGTAGCAGCTGCAGCTGTTGATACTTCAGGAGGGCCCGGGGAGATAGTAATTGGAGGTGGTCCCTCCAATGGCCCAGATTTTGGGCATTCTACAGGATTCTCAACTGACAGAAACAACACTGGTGCTGCACAATCCGTGCCGGCAGCAGGGGCATCATCACCATTTGTGGAGTATCTCGTGAACTTGCCAGTTACTGCTCCTGGTGTCTTTGATGATCCCATTTCCCCACAGTCCCGTGCTGCCTATTGGGTCTCTTATGAAGACCTCTACAGTGCAAGTCTGCCAATCACTGATCCAAAGTTGTTGCAGCGGTATGCCCTTGCCGCATTCTACTTTGCAACTGGCGGAGACAACTGGGGGCAATGTGGACGTGAATCAACCAGCTGTGCAACAACTTCCTGGTTGTCAGATAGTGATGAGTGTACCTGGTACAGTTTGGGTTGCACTCAGCAGCATCAAATTTTTGAAATCAGATTTCGTAAGTTTGGTCCAACAAGTTTTTGTGTCGTTGGCAATTGTCTTTGACTGACTCAAGGCTTTCTCCTGGTCTTCTCCCTGCCTTAGCACCGGATGGGAACCATCTTGTTGGTATCCTTCCTGCTGAGTTGTCCTTGTTGACTGGCTTGAAGCGCCTCTTGGCTTCTTCCAATTCAATCAATGGTGGTTTGGACGCCCCTCTTGCTGGCCTGTCACTACTTGAGATTCTGTATCTCCCATCTAACCAGTTCAGTGGTTCCATTCCAGATTCCCTTTATACCTTGACAAATTTGAGCTTCTTGTCACTGGCGGAGAATTCTTTCACTGGCACCATCAGCCCTGACATTGGACAGCTCACACGTCTGGCAAAATTGAATCTGGGAAAGGCCTCCTTGTCAGGTACCATACCAGACATGATTGGGTCGCTGGATGCATCACTTACTGACCTCTTGCTAAATGACAATCTGCTTGCTGGACCTGTGCCAGCAGCATTGGGCCAATTGACAAATCTTGGTACATCTTGTTTCCTAATTGTTTGATGTCCTCGCACGTCTACATTGTCCTCACAACTCTTTTTCTCCAACTGCTACTTTTTGCTGTTGCAGCAAAACTAGAAATCCAAGGAAACCAAATGACAGGAAGCATTCCGGCAGCTCTTTGTGCCCAGCAACTTGGAGTCTTAATAGTGGATTGTGAGGTGCAGTGCAGTTGCTGCGATAGCTGTGGTAGTGCAGCTGTTGCAGCTGTTCTTGCTTCCAGTGTTCTTTCTGGTGGTGACACATCATCCCTACAGTCCTACCTTCAAGTTCATCCTGTCACAGCTCCAGGCGTCTTTGAACATGCCCATTCTCCACAATCTCTTGCTGCCTCATGGATTGCTCAAGACAGTCTCAGTGTAGGCTTGCAATTGTCTGACCCGAAGTTGTTGCAGCGTTATGCGCTGGCCACATTCTACTTTGCTACAGGCGGAGACAACTGGGAGCAATGTGGTCGTAATTCAGCTGCTTGTTCTAGTAACAATCCCTGGCTGACAGATGGTGATGACTGTTCTTGGTACAGCTTGGCATGCAATCCGCAGGGTGAAGTTTTTGAAATCAGGTTTCGTAAGTCTAGACAGTGCTGGCTTGTTGACTGGGTTCTTATTTCTTATGCAACTGCTTTCTTGTCATCTGATAACATGTAGCTCATAAGGGCAATCACCTTAATGGAATCCTTCCTGCTGAGTTGTCCTTGTTGACTGGCTTGAAGTGGCTTTTGGCTTCTTCAAATGAACTTAGAGGTGGTCTGGATGCCCCTCTTGCTGGCCTGTCACTACTTGAGATCCTGTATCTTCCATCAAACCAGTTCACTGGGTCCATCCCAGATGCATTTTATAGCTTGACCAGCTTGAACACTTTGTCACTGGCGGACAATGCCTTTACCGGGACCATCAGCCCAGAAATCCGGCTGCTGGCAAATTTGAGAAAGCTGGATTTGGGAAAGACCTCTTTGTCAGGAACCATCCCAAACAGCATTGGGTCACTCGATTCAACACTAACTGATCTTTTGCTGAATGACAACCAGCTTACTGGACCAGTGCCAGCAGCATTTGGCCAGTTGACTAATCTTGGTACGGCCTTGTTTCCTCTTGTTAGATGACCACACACAACTACCTTGGCCTAACATCTCTGTTCTCCTTTGCAATACTGTGTGCTACCGTTGCAGAAAAACTGCAAGTCCAAGGAAACCAGTTAACAGGAAGCATTCCCTCTGCTCTGTGTGCCCAGCAACTTGGAATGTTGATAGTTGGTTGTGAGGTGCAGTGCACTTGCTGTGAAAACTGCGGGAATGCAGCTGTTGCAGCATTTCTTGCTTCCAGTGTTCTTTCTGCCGGAGACACATCAATGCTTGTGTCCTACCTATCTGCGCTCCCAGTAACAACCCCGGGTGTTTTTGATGACCCCTTTTCTCCGCAGTCTCTGGCTGCCTCCTGGATTGCTCAAGACGTTTTCAGTGCAGGCTTGCAAGTATCCGACTCAAAGTTGCTGCAGCGGTATGCACTGGCCACATTCTACTTTGCAACAGGAGGTGAAAACTGGCACCAGTGCGGCCGCGAGTCTCCTAGCTGTGGGGCCACTCATTGGCTGACTGATGGTGATGCTTGTGCTTGGTATAGCCTGGGGTGTACTCAGCAAGGTGACATCTTTGAAATCAGGTTTCGTAAGTCTTGCCCATTACTATTTGTCGACTGGTCATCCTGGAAGATCTTACCTCTGAACTAAACCAATGCAGCCCCCCATGGAAATCGTCTCATTGGATCCCTTCCTGCTGAGTTGTCCTTACTGACTGGGTTGAAGCGCCTTTTGGCTTCTTCAAATGGCATTGGTGGTACTTTGGATGCTCCTCTTGCTGGCCTGTCATTGCTTGAGATCTTGTATCTGCCATCAAACCAGCTCAGCGGTTCTATCCCCGATTCGCTCTATAGCTTGACCAGCTTGAACAGTTTGACGCTTGCCGAAAATGCTCTCACGGGTACTATGAGCCCTGATATTGGACAGCTTGTGTCTCTCAAGGATCTCTTCTTGCCTAGTCTAGGTATGTCTTTTATGTTGTTGCCAGTTGTACAAACCAGCAACAGCGCCTCACATTTTGCCATTGTTGTAATTTTTTCGTGCAGAGAAACTAAGAATCGAAGGAAACCAACTTTCAGGAAGTATCCCTGCGGCCGTTTGTGCTCAGCAGCTGGTGACATTGGTAGTTGACTGTGAAGTGCAGTGTACCTGCTGTGACAACTGCGGAGATGCAGCAGTAGCTGCCATTGATGGTTCCACTGGAGGGCTGGAATCCTTTGTGGCGTACTTGAAGACCCTGCCTTTTACACTGTCCAGTGCTTTTGATGATTCCAGTTCCCCACAATCACGTGCTGCTTCCTGGGCCATTGAGGAGGATGGCTTGTCTGCAAGTCTCCCAGTGCGCGATCCTAAGTTGTTGCAGAGATACGCTCTGGCCGCTTTTTACTTTGCAACAGGCGGAGACAGCTGGAGTCAATGTGGACGCAACTCAGCTGGTTGTGCAACCAGCAATCCCTGGTTGACAGCTGCTGATGAATGTACCTGGTTCAGCTTGGGTTGCTCCAACGATGGAGTACTTGTCGAAATCAGATTTCGTAAGTTTTTGTCTACCATGCCAGTTGTGTTGGCTACCTTTCTATCCGACTCATACGAACTTCTTGTTTCCTTATGGTCGGTTGCAGCTCCCGATGGGAACCGTCTCATTGGGCCTGTTCCTCCAGATGTGTCTTTATTGTCTGGCTTGAAGCGTTTCTCGGCTCCCACAAATGCGATGAGTGGTAGTTTGGATGCTTTTTCTGGCCTATCAAACTTGCAGACGCTCTATGTGTCATTGAATCGATTCAGAGGGTCCATACCCGCTTCAGTTTACTCCTTGACAAGCTTGGACACACTGTCACTTGAACAAAATGCTCTCACAGGTTCCATCAGCACTCTGATTGGAAGGTTGACAGATGTATCAGTTTTAGAACTTGGGAGTAGCTCCTTGGCTGGGCCCATACCTGATGTGTCTCGGTTGATGCATCTTTCGGAGTTGAATTTGGAAAAGACCTCATTATCAGGAACAATCCCAGAAAGCATTGGGTCGCTGCATGCATCTCTCACGGATGTCTTTCTGAATGACAATCGGCTCACTGGACCTGTTCCAGCGGCCTTCGGCCAGCTGACAAAACTTGGTATGTGTCACCCTTTGCTGATACTACTGTCGATGCGTATTAGAGTGAACTTGCCGTTGGCCTCATCATTAATCCTTTACCATTGACTCTCTTCATGTCTATTGTGCATCTTCAGAAACACTACAGATCCAAGGCAACCAGTTGACGGGAACTATTCCCGTGGCTTTCTGTTCTCAAAACATGTCAGCTCTGGTTGTTGATTGTGACTTGGATTGCAGCTGCTGCGATAGCTGTGGACAACCAGAACAAGCGACAGCTGGAATTGTGGTGGTTGTAGCTGGTCCGTCAAATGGTGTTGGACAAGCCGCATCAGCAGGGGCGTCACCGTTAGTGCAGTATCTGGAGACCCTTCCAGTTACTGCTCCTGGTGTCTTCAATGACCCCAATTCTCCACAATCCCTTGCTGCATCCTGGATCACAGATGAAGACCTCTACAGTGCAGGCCTCCCAACCACTGACCCAAAGTTGTTGCAGCGGTATGCCTTGGCCACATTCTACTTTGCAACAAATGGAGATAACTGGGAGTTCTGTGGACGAGAATCACTGAGCTGCACAGCAACGACCTGGTTGACTGATGAAGACGAATGTACCTGGTTCAGCCTGGGGTGTACAAACCAGGGTGTAGTTTGGGAAGTCAGATTTCGTAAGTTTGGACAGGCTATGGCTGTCTGTTTTGCCTGGTGTTTTTCCTAACATCACGCCCATTTAATTTACCTTAGCTGCCAACGGGAATCGAATCAATGGCCCCATTCCTGCGGAGTTGTCCTTATTGACTGGCTTGAAACGTTTCTTGGCCTCTTCCAATGCTATGGGTGGAAGTTTGGATGCTCTCGCTGGCTTGTCATTGCTGGAGATCCTGTATCTCCCATCTAACCAATTCAGAGGTTCCCTCCCTGATTCGCTCTACTCCTTGACCAGCTTGAAGACTGTGTCACTTGCGCAGAATGGCCTGACAGGGTCTATTAGCCCTCAAATTGGTCAGTTGACAGACTTGGGAGTTCTGGAATTGGGTTCCAGCACGCTGGCTGGGCCCATCCCAACAGAGATGTTCCAGTTGGTGCATCTTAAAGAGTTGAATGTGGAGAGAGCATTCTTGACTGGAACCATTCCAGAAAGCATCAGATTGCTCAATGCATCTCTCACGGATCTCTTGTTGAACAACAATGGACTCACTGGTCCTTTACCACAAGGCTTGGACCATTTGACAGCCCTTGGTAGGCGTTTTCGTTCTTGTGGCTGCAGGCGATGGATGATCCTACTGTTCTCATCTTTGTTTGCCTCCACTACTCTTTTAGAAAAACTAGAAATCCAAGGAAACCAATTGACGGGTACCATTTCGGCAGCGGTTTGTGCTCAGCGTGGATCGCTCGCGCAGGAGTTGTCCACCTTGATGGTGGATTGCGAAGTGGAGTGCAGCTGTTGTGACAATGCCAACTGCGCATCTTAGATCCATGGTGGCTGGAGCAAGGGTACCGGTAGCCCCAATAATACATTAATTCATGAAATCTGTACGAGTGGCAAGCTGCGTACGGTAGAAACTAAGAAAACAAGAAGCATTCGAGGCGCAGCTCGCCGACGAGAGCTCGTTGGACTATATAGACAGCTCGGCCTTTGGAATTCGGACCCGCATGGCCCGAGTAGCATTAGCGGCACCGTACTTGTACTGTAGCAGCCTTTACTAAGCCTTTCACCTTTGGTCGGACGTACGTCTGGATCAAAAACAGCGCTACGAATCGAGTCAGAGTCAAATCTGGTCAACAGCAGTGGCATCCACAAAAGCAAGGAACCGACTTCTACTTCGCTCGACTCGACTCCTGCACAGCATCACCTCTTTGCCACCCGAGGAGGACTCGACTCGAGTCGAGTCACTCCTCGCGAGCGAAAGCGCAGAAAAACACGGGAGTGCTGTGCAAAGTGTGCGTCTGGACGTTCGCGTACCGTATACCGTATTAGCCAGTTCGCTTGCATGCAGCCAACGGTCAAAAATGGCGGAACAAGAGAACACCAACAAATCCACCCCAGCTTCCTTCGTAAGAAGAGATAGTCAACTGCTTTCTGTGTGTGCTCTTCTTTGGATGTCACAACTACCCTTACCACAGTGCTGGATACATCGACACTGAGAGATCTTCCGCCTCCAATCGTCCTGGAAAAGCTATTTGTCCATTTTGAGAAAGAAGCACAAAGCCTTCCGCTACGGTCCAACAGCGACGTTTGCTCATTCAGCACCAACAAAGCAACCACAACCAACCGGTCGAATGAAGATCCCCACTTTTTTCTTGGCCTCGTGTCTTTTGGCCACGGCTCAAAATGCAGCCCCCGTGTTTAGTCCCCAACGAGTCGGCAACTATCTCTGTGACATTTATTTGGCGCCATCCGACATTGGTGGATGGGGAGTCTATGCTGGCCGGGACTTTGACGAAGGGGAAATAGTGGAAATCGCACCCCGATATGTCCCTCTGAAATCCACTGAATTCATGCACAACAACGCCTTGGATGACTTTCATTACGGTTTTACCTTTCAACGAGATCCAGAAGAAACATCCTTTGGTGCCGCCATCTTCGGAATGTCCATGTTTTACAATCATGGAGTGGGAGCCCAACGAAATGTAGTCTACACTAGTTTTGGCTTTGAACCTGACAAACACATGACATGGGGATCCATGATGATTGGCTTTGTGGCCAATCGTGATATTCGGAGAGGTGAAGAGTTGCTGTCATCATATGGAGAAACCGAACGGTGGTTTACGGACCGTGGGCTAGAGATGGCACAACGCGAGGAGCAAGAGATTCCATCTCAGGAGGAATTGACCAAATTGGAACAGCAACAATGTGCAAAATCGATTGCAGGAATTGGACATTCCACTTGGATTGATCGTGTTGTAGCAGCGCAAGACATCTATGAACTGCATGTTCCGTACATTCAAAAGGAGGAAATGCTGCCATTACAAGATCATCCAACGGCAGTTGCCAAGGAATTCGTGCAGGATGGTTCTCTCATAGAACAGGCACCGGCACTGGTGGTCCCCATGGCTACTTATGAAGTATCACCACTGGAACCTATGATAATTGCTTGGGCTGATTTGGATCCATCACTGCAGGAGGTGGTTCAAGATTTGCGAGAAGATGGTGTTTACCGCATGAAAGGAATTGACACAGAAACCGGACGTCTCGTCCCGGACGTCTTGGAATTCTTTGAGGACTCGGCAATCCTTCCTGCAGCAGGCAACATTGGCTTGGTACGAAAAGTGGGCCCCGATGGTGACAGCAATTGTCGTTTGGGCATTGAATCTGCTGCAAGGGATATAGAGAATGCTGACATTGGAAGCTCTGGAATCATCTTGAAATTGTATGCTACAAGAGATATACAGCCTGGAGAGGAACTATTGCTGAACCTTCCTGATTCCAGTTCCTGGCATACTAAGACGACTCTTTCACAGCACTTGGCACTGACTGGACAGCCCATTCCGAAGCATCTTGTTGACACCTACAATCCTGGACTAGATGACATTTCATTGGATGACGAGGAAGAGCCAGAACTGTGAGAGTCATGGACGACAAGGGCTGTAACGTAGAACAAAATATCCCCGTTGCCTTTCTAATTCAGTACACCTATCTTGTTCAAAAAGAAGGGTTGGGTTGAAGACTACAACATAGCCAGGAGGAATAGCTGAAGGCACATCGCGTGGCAGTTGAAATTCAAAATCCAATTTCTTCCTCTACATGCTTTCAAACTGATATCCTGTTGAAATGGAACCCCAATTAACAAAGTGGGGTGACAAATGATCTTATAGTTTTCTCTTGTTGCTCTATTTTTAGATGATGATCTTGATTGTGAAACGCAGTGGGATGTGAGTGTGGCGAAGTCATTGGCCAGATGTGAGTGCGGCGAGGACTGAACGAAACATGAAACAGTCAACTGAATATGAGTGCGGTTGGTGGGTCATGAAGAGGAAGCGATGCAACCGCATGCATCCGTCTTCTTTATCATTTCTATTTCGGTATTCAAACGAAGAATTTTAAAAGCTGGCCGAAGATTGTAGCTTGTTCACGTGCTTAGTTAGCCTTTGACGCACTAGAAGGCTTGCGGGTTGCAATAAACCAAATGGTGTTTGTCAAGGAATTCCCGTCACCTCCTTGAGAAATGAAAACCTTTGTTGGAATGGCCAATGCTTGTTCGAGCGCATCCTCGTGGTCGCCAGCTTCGGCACAAAGACCAGCTTGGAGAATGGACCAACCGTTGTTTATGCAAAAGTCGCCAGCTGTCTTGCACGCTTCCTCATACGCCGGATAAAGCTCAGCGGCCCAGTCAGGATCATCTCTTCGTTCAGCAACGGGAGTCAACGGCATGAGTTGAATTCCATAGCTGACCACAGCCTGTGGGGCAAACCAAGTTTGGAAGGATGCCATGGTATCGTAGAGCATGCCCACAACTGGCTGCTTGTACCCCTTCGGGTAAGTACTCTTGTGCGTTTCGCTAGACCAGACATGCCAGTATGTGTTGGTGGCTCGCAACTCTGTCACTGTCAACAACTGTCCAGCATCCCTCACAAGTTTGGCTGTCTCGTACTTTTCGTCGTCAGCTGAAGAGCTCTCTCTGCTGAAAATGTCCGCCATGACAGCTCCGTACAAGGCAACAGCTTCGTAGGCAGCAATCGCTTCGCTGGACGATTCCTCGTTTCTGCCATGAGGAGAGTTCTCAGCGGAAACAATACCACTGGCCCAAGAAGAGCCCAAAAACCAATCCTTCTGGCGAAACTGGACAAAGAATTCTTCAGCAGGGGCAGGGTTGGCAAAGTCCCGAATGTACAACAGCACCTTGTCAAAGTATTCCACGGCCCACTCGCGGTCGTACTTCGCCACGACCGCTGCAGCATAAACGTGGTAGCCATAATGGTAATGGTGGTCATTGTACCAGCCTTCAGCGAGTCAAGTCAACAGCCAAGATTCGTTAGTGCAGGACGATCAACGATTCGGATAATTCTCTTGCTGGCTCGATGCTGGGACTTACCGTTTCCAAAGTCTTCGTTCACGTCTGCCAAGGCGGGACAGTCTGGGAAGGTATTGTTGCAGTGTCCGCTGTCTCCCTTGCCCACATAGTGACAACCACAGTTAACAAATCCACCCCAAGACTTGTCGAAGACGTAGGGCGCCTCAGCATCCTCGCTGAGCCAGGCCGACACTCCCTCCTTCAGTTGATTGACTGCAGTGGCAATATCTTCTTCGGAAGGAAAGTTTTCCGAGGCGGCAGCATGTGCCGCTTCCGACAAGGCCTGGTCGTCGACTTCGTCATATTGAAGCGAGTCAACGTCGCCCAATGCCAAGGAGTTCATTTCCCATGCAATGGAAATGACTCGGCCGACACGTGCCAAGATTTTCCCAGAGAAGTACGTGTCTGCAGCCGCAACGAGCAGATTGGCGGGGATCTGGAACTGCAAATCTTCCTCCAGTGCCTTGGCTAGAGTTGGAATGGTCTTTGCTTCGGGTGGCCGAGGCGCATTGAACGACATGGGAGCCCCCAAGTCCTCTCCAAGAGTCCACACGTTTCCTTCAACGAGACATGTGCTGCCGTGGAACGTGTCAAAGCAATGCTCGGTGATCTTAACGTCAGAGGATTCATTGAGGTACTCCTGATGATGAGGCATGGCGAACATGAGCAGCTGATCCTGTGATGATGAAGTGATAGGTGCCCAGTCGATTGTTGTGTTGGCAATCCTGTCCTCAGATCCATCCTCTGGGTAGGAAAAATGGAGAGAAGGACTTGTGGGAAAGAGAAAGGCCTTTTCTTTCATGAGCTGGGCGTACGCTTTGATGGCCTTAGAGGTGCCTGCACTCTGATCACCGCTGCAGTGTGCTCTAATGTTGCTGGCGCCAGTGGTGCACTCGTTGATTAGTGCCACCTGAGTAATGAGAGGCGCGTCGTCACTGGTGTCGTAGCCGACAACGGAGAGCTGGAACTCCTTGCTCCAGACATCCCCATCCGTGACGCCGCACTTCACCTTGACCGGTTTGCTAAAGTACACGGCCCACGTAAAGTCAGAACCGATAAAATGAAGTTGCATCTCGCTTTCCACAGAGGCAGTGTTGCCCTCCACGGTACCACCCTGCGAGTCCACTGTACCACACTTCAGCCCGTGCTTTCCATCGACTAGAATGGCCGTGTCGCTCTGTGCAGGGCCGTTGTAACTGTACAAGATAGGCAAGGCACCGCCCTCGTACTGCATAGTGACGAAAGGCATCCCACGAACAATGCTGGTCTTCATGCTCTTGTTGTCGCTGCTTCCAGTCCACTGAAGGCTAACTCCCAGGTGGGATAGTGTGGCATTAGGATCCACTTGATATTTCTTGGATACATCTGTGGAACCCAAGCACAAACCATTTTTGAAATCATCCACCATTTGAACATTGCGATCGCTCGCCGAGATGGTGGGCCAGTGAACTCGGATTCCTGCCATGGCGGCTGGTGGCGCCATGTCAACGATGTAGGGAACAGTGTATACTCTTGTAGAATCATCAGGTTGGATTGCGGCCTTTCGAGAGACCAAGTTCTGTGGTAATCAGAAAAGAAAGAAAAATACAAAAACAAGACGTATTAGTGAAAAGCTGTTTCTGAGCCACCAAAACAACGGTCATTGCAACCAATCACTCCATAAGACCCAATTAAAAAAAAAGAATCCAGACACCCAACTCACCAAGTACCAACTGTTGGTTGGGAGTGGCCCCGAGCGGTTGCCCCAGATTTCACTCGGTGAAGCTTCCTTTTCGCGTTGAATGGAACGGAATCCGAGATCCACGGGAGAGAGCTCGCTCAGAATCAAATTAGCATCATCTTCATTGGCCTTCTTATTATTGTTGTGCTTCTGGGGAACCCACTTTTCACGGGCATGACCACGGTTTCCCACAATCTTGGGGTAACTGAACTCCACCACAACAAAGATCACAATGGCCAAAATTGCAATTACAAAGTACTTTTTGGAATTGGATCTCTTCACGGGAACAGATGAGGACCCTTGGATGAGCTGCTTAATCTCCTGCTCATCTTCGTGCTTGACCGTGATCGATCCATAAGATTGACGAGGCGCCATGGCTGCGATTTCTCAAAGAGGTATCGCCCAACTAGGATATTCTGAGGATGAGAGTTGCCAAAGGAATTGTTTGTTCTACAAAAATCTTTGGAGAGAATGAAAGTGCGTGTTGTTTGCTTCCATGTTTCATGTTTCTTGCAAAAAGTCTACGTAGCCAGTTTCTGCGTCAGTTTTGTGGGTGGGTGATCCAGATACCCTTTTCCCAAAAGCTTTAACTATTGGACTAACGGATTTAACACAATTTACAGCGATTTTGGCTCGCACTGACACCCTGATGTCCCTGATCCATCTCCTTTTGGAGGCCGGCTGTTGCGCAGGCTCTGTTGGCTCGGGAATAAAAATGGCACGTCAATGTCAACTCTTGAAGTTAGAGCTCGGTTTCATCATTTTCAAGTGGTACTGGTACTGTATCTTTCTCTGAGACCAAGTTCCACCAGTGCTACTATGTAGTACTTTACCATTGGGTCCGCAGATTCTACAGGGGACCGCTTATAAGAAGAGTGAGACTCCCATTCTTTCTCACTATACTCATTCTTCTTTGCTTTGTGGCCCGGTGAAACTGCATCGGCCGTTCCAAAAGCGGGCAGCAGCAAGACTGAGGACCCGCAGGATTTGGATGCGACGGTAGGAGATATGGCATTTATTCAGGCGAGGATAGCTAGCTAGCATTTTAATAAAATACCGGTAACTGTAGGGTGGACAATAGGGAGCCGCAAGGGCCGGCATGTGACGGAGGGCCAGTACGAGGATACTCGAGCCCCCAGCCAACAGAAGGTGCGGTTCTCGGGTTTCGCCGTCATTCCTCATTCTGCATATGGGTTGGCGCCTTCTTTGAGCAGATGAGCAGACCAATGATCAGAATCGTTCTACTCGCTGCTCGTTGTTAGCTAGACTACCGCCAGAGCCCCCGACCCGGACCTCAATTTATCGCCCCTGATTCCACGGAACCTAGCTAGCTAGTCCTGAATTTGGACTCTTCTTTGCATAAGCCTGGCCCTTGCTGGCTTCCATAGATAATCCACCTATGCATACCAGGGGAAGTCACACTCGGAGCCGAGTGAGTAAGCTGGAGATCCAAGAATTTCATAGCTTACCCCCGTGTGGGTCTGAAGTATAACGTCTAGTTCTGTTTGCGTTGAAGCTAACGGTGTACGTAAAACATTAAGGTGGTGGAGAATGTGGTGAACAGATTTTTTTTAGGGTTAAGATTCTTTTGCTGCTGCGCTGCCTAGCATATGTGTGACTCCGTCATTTCTTAGTTTTTTGGTTTGAGTCTTTGAATTTGGTTTGAGTGTTTGCACAAGATATGGATACAGTAGTGTTGTCTGGGTGGTAACAATTCCAGTCAGGACCTTAGGAATGTTACCATTTTTGAATCCTATGCCCAGTGGGCATGCATTTCAGGGACTTGTGAATGTGATTGTGTAAGCATTTTTGTGGAGCATAGGTTGTTAGAGGCAAGTCAAAGCACACCATCAAACGAAAACGAAAACGAAAACGAAAACCAAAACCAAAACCAAACAACAGATGGAAAAGAAAGTAACAAACTACCAAACCAGACTACCAAGCCAAATACATTATCTTTCGAATCTGGTGCCCATTGGGCATGCTATTCAATAACCTTAACCCTATTACTTCAATGTACCTTAAATCCACATTTCTATGCAGTCATAGTTCATCTTAAGTACGTCTTGCCACCATCTACTTGAAGGCAACTTGCAATAAGTCTATAAAAAGCCTTAGTTTGACCAGTAACTGTTTTCCAATAGCATGCTCTTACTATTATATCATCATGTATATTATATAAATCTAAGTAATGAACATGCTTGCCTAAGTAAATATCCAAGTTTTGCCTATGTCACATTTTGAATAAAATGTATCTATATCCGAGGACTTTTATGCATTAAATAGGACACTTGCCTTTTTGGCTGGCTTTCTGTTCTCCAGCTACTAAGATACGGGTAATGGTCGATTCAGCTGAAATGTCAAAATGCTACAAAATTAGCTAAATACTCAAAATGATAGTTCTAGGCGCCACATCACCAGACAGACCCACACAGGGTTGACAAGGAGAGCGTCAGCCACCATGGGTACCTGGTACATTGTACTGTACCAGCGCGTGGTACAAATTTTAACGCCCTGCTCATACTTGAAATGTCATAAACATGAGAGCGCGCTCTCTGGCTAGCTATTAATTTAAGCCAGTGGAGCTGTGGAACCTCGGCAGAAAGGTTTCAGTGTAGACGCAGAAAGCTCTAGCTAGCTAGTGCCGAGCTTAGCTAGCTAGCTAGCTAGCTGGAAGCAGACACCCCTAGTGGCTAGCTAGAAGCAGATACCTAGCTAGCAGATACCGGTACCCATAGGATACATGTGAATAGCTTTAGCTGTTTAAAAGGCAGCACCCCAAGAATACTTTAAATTTGCTGCCTTACTTGTAATCTAACCCTACCCTTATACCTGCAGAGACCGCTGGACAATTTAAGATAGGTCACACTAAAATCAGCGCGTGTCCGTCCGTCGTCGGTCAAAATGTGAGGTGGTGGAAAATTCTTTTTATTCGCGGAACGTCTTCGAAACATATAGACCTATCCAGCAATGTATTGTACATACCCGTCCGACGTCTAGTTACTGAGAAGGGGCTAACCGACAGATCTAATGCTCTTGACGCTTGCAGTTAATCGTGCAGCATTGCTAACTCCCACCACAACTCCCACATCGTTACTCGCTTTTTCCTCGCTTTTTTCTTCTTTCGTTTTGTATTCCAAGTCAACCAAAGATGGTGGAAATCAACCAATAGAGACCATGACAGAGCCTCCGCCTACCACCGCTACCCCCAGGAATAGCATTGCCATCAGCCCTGTGAGGAAGATCCACTCTCCCGCCATCAGAACCAAGCTTATTCGAGGTTCAAAGTGCAAAAATCCTCCCAACGTGGAAGCACTCAAACAGGAACTTGCTGATTGGTTGGAGGCTTACCGAGCACTGGACAACTGCGTCTCCATCAAGAATCAAGCAAGAGACAAGGCATGCACTTGCTGCAAGGATATTCCAGAACCTGGGAGCTACTACTTCCGAGTTTTGCTGAATTCACTTTTCCAGTTCGGCCTCATGGACCGGAATGGGCAGATGTCGTTCGTCGTGGAATGGATAAAGTACACCAAGAAGCAGATGAAGGATCGTCATCTCTACAATACACAGGAACAACGAAGGCCATTCCTCATGCCTGGATTGATCATCAGAGTGTCCTGTTGTCGAGACACTTTGTCAAGAATGGTTGGCTTTGGTTGGGACAAGTGGAATGCTTCGGAGATGGTTGCGACTGGCAAGAAACTCATGGGCCATGGCAATGATGGAATAGCACGCAGGTGCAACGAAGCGGTAGATTCCTCCTTGAAGGAGTTCTTCGAAGACATGAAACAGCCAGCTTGTATGTCCAAGGGCAACTCTTTTCATTAGAGAGCTGGTTGGTGAAAGTATCCAACAGACACTTCGCAACACAGACGAAGAAGTGGTTGAGCTTCCTTCATGCAACAGCAAACGACAACTCTACGGACGGTATTTGAGGGAGAGAGGCTATCACTATTCGGTCGATTCAAAGGGGGCAATCACTTCCAATGTCCCAATAGCTGGCGTGGAACAGAAACCTGTTTGCAGTTGGGCCAAGTTCCATGTATACTGGAAAAGGGAGTACAAGCAGATAATAATCTGTCGCCCTAGGGAAGACATTTGCAATGAATGCTTCAAGCATGCGAATCGGCACAAGTTTCTTATCAACCGACTTCAAGCCAAAGAACAAAGGGAGGGGAGACGAAGATAAAACTCAAACGCAAACCACCAAGAACAGAAACAGCAAGAACCACAAGAGCAACAGCCCAAACAGCCAACCGCCGCAGAGATCCAAGCCCAAGCTGCCGCCAAGGAGAAGAACATGTTCATGGCAGAGCCAATAAGTTTCTTGAATGTTCAGTTCCAATACTCAAGTAGTGGACTGGGTCTCGCTGAAACCCTTCCTCAGGGACAGCGGTAGTCAGGCAGTTCAGGGAGCCTTGTCGTGCCTCAGGAGTGTTCCAACACCTCCAGTAGGCACCAAGCCAAGGACTTGGTCCTGTCAGTCAGACAGGAGGGCCAGCAGAGCTCTCTGCTGGGCCCTTTTGGGCCAGCTCTCCTCAGGAGCTGGGAACCTTCGTTATTCAATCGTGCAGTGGCAGTCTGGGAACAGAACTAGGTGTAAAATACTCGTTAGTTTAACAAACTATGGCCACGGAGTGGCTTTTGTGACGCGGGCAATGGGTGGGGAAGCCCCCACCTAGCTGAGTCGTCATCTACTTATTTGCCCAATCAACATGACCTCATCCACTGGCCCAACGTGGAGCCAGCACCAAGTAGACAGATGCCCTGGGTAGGGGGGTGAGCACATTGATCTGGGAACAGAACTATCTGCTACCTCCTACTGCTTCTGCCCGGCCTCAACAGGATAGGTATCAACTGCTGCGGTATCAAAGGGGCTACAAGCTAATCAGGATCGGTCTCAATCTTTCGTACTATTTTCTTAACTATGGTAGAAAGGACGATCCTTTCTTGCTGCTTTGCTGGGAGATAAGCCAACTGCGCATGCTGGAGTTGTAGGCCAGCATAGCTGTTGGAGCTATCCCAGAGGAATCCAGAGCTCTCGCTCCTAGACTTGAAAGCGTTACAGTTCCTCCCATGACTCAGAGTATCCGTGAGTAGATTGAGTCATGTTTTATGAGTCAATACGATGGAACAGAGAACGCTGGCAAGAACACGTTCTCAACGAAACCAAAGGACACAGTAAATTGGAGTATTCGACAGGAGTAAAGCATCCTGCCAACGAACCGTTTCCCGCAGATACCACGTTGACTTCCGTATGAACCAAGATCAACTACCACGATGCATTGATCCAACACGCTACCAACTAGCTTTACTGATCGCATCAATCAAAGCTCACAACACAGATTATGAATTACTAAGAAGCGAACTTTGCATTTACCTTGCACTCGTCTTGAATAGTTGCAGTTGATCTCGTTGGGTGGTAGCTACCTCTACAAGATCCCTCTATTCAAGTAGTATTTCCTCACGTTAGCAGATTAACTAGTCGCAGTTACGCACTGCCACACCTCCATCAAGATGGCCGATGAAGCAGCCAAGCTCAAGCATGTCCTATGCACCCT